TTCAGCCGAGGCTGATCCTCCTCCTTGCTCGGGCAAGCTTCGGCATTCGTCGTCCCCGGTGTACTAGCTGCTACCGATCTATGTTTAGGTGTTTGTCTTGTTTGGTCTTTATTGTTTACACCTGTTTCCAATTATGTTGCATTGTATTCCCTTTATAACCCCCTGTCTCTTCTGGTGTATTGTGTGTGATTGTTTTTCGTTAGGACGGCAGTTGCATTTGTGTGCAAGTTATTGTTCCTCCCTGTTAGGAGGTTTGTTTTGTACTTTTATTACTGTGTTCAGTAAAGTACGTCTGCCAGTAGCTCTGTGTCCTGCGCTTGACTTCGTTTACCGCATACACGTCACCCTGACAGAATCACACACCATACATGGAGTCAGCAGGAGCGGCAGTGCCAGCTGGATCAATGGAGGAACGCGTCGAACAACAAGCGGCCATGATCCAGGTGCTCGGCACCGCCATGGAACGGGTGGTGAGCACAATGGAGCGATGGGAAAGAGGAGGTCTGCCTACACCTCCTCCGATGATACCACCACCATCGGCGATGCCCATCGCTTCACCTCCGGGGTCCAGTGGGATTCGGCTCTCGCTCCCAAGGGCTTATGATGGCACAGCTGCAGGGTGTCAGGGTTTCCTGCTCCAGGTTGAACTCTACCTGGCAACCATCCACCCGGTGCCCTCGGGATACGAGAGCGTGTCCGCCCTCATCTCCTGTCTGTCTGGCAAGGCGCTGGAGTGGGCCAACGCCGAGTGGGGGGGAATAGACGCCGTTACTATCAACTATGCGGAGTTCACCCGCCGCTTCAGGGCAGTATTCGATCATCCACCTGAGGGTAAAGCGGCAGGTGAGCGTCTATTCCACCTCAGACAGGGGAGGAGGAGCGCGCAGGAGTTCGCACTGGACTTCCGGACGCTGGCTGCCAACGCGGGATGGAATGAGAGGGCCCTCATCGACCACTACAGATGTAGCCTGTAGGAATTGGCCTGCAGGGACACCAACCTCAGCTTCGACCAACTGGTGGACATGTCCATTCGTCTGGATACCCTGTTGGCTACCCACGGACGTCCGGATTCAGGGCTGTCCAATCCATCCCCCAGCACATCCGAGCCGACCCCTATGGAGCTCGGAGGTGCTGGTTCTAGGGAGACCAGGAGAGAGGCCGTCCCTTGCACCAACTGTGACCGCAGAGGACACACTGCTGGTCAGTGCTGGGGAGGGTCTCCTAGGAATCGAGGCAGTAGGCAGCGCACTGATGAGTCATTCCAGGTGAGTAGGCACCCAACTCACCCAGAGCTCCCTGTTGCGCATATATGTATTAAAGTTGTGTTTCCCGAGGTTTCTCCTCATTCCCAGCATAAGGCGCTAGTTTGATCTCAGGAGTGTGTACAACCTGGTGCGCATTAGGGAGGGAGATGAGTGGAAGACAGCATTCAGTACCACCTTGGGTCACTATGAGTACCTCGTCATGCCATACGGTTTAATGAATGCTCCTTCAGTCTTCCAATCGTTTGTGGACAAGATTTTCCGGGACTTGCATGGACAGGGTGTAGTGGTGTATATTGATTACATTCTAATATACTCCGCTACATGAGCCAATCATGTGTCCCTGGTTTCGTCGGGTGCTTGGTAGACTGTTGGAGCATGACTTGTATGCGAAGGCGTAGAAATGTCTGTTCTTCCAGGAGTCCATCTCCTTCCTGGGACACCGGTTGTCCGCGTCAGGGGTGGAGATGGAGATTGACCGCGTATCAGCCGTGCGCAATTGGCAGACTCCCACCTCGGTGAAGGAAGTGCAGTGGTTCTTGGGTTTTGCCAATTACTACCGGAGGTTTCTCCGGTGCTTTGGACAGGTAGCAGCTCCCATTACCTCCCTGCTAAAGGGGGGTCCGGTGCGTCTGCAGTGGTCGGCTGAGGCGGACAGGGCTTTTAGACATCTGAAGGACCTGTTTACCTCGGCTCCAGTGCTGGCACATCCGGATCCTTCTTTGGCGTTCCAAGTTGAAGTGGATGCGTCCGAGGCTGGGATCGGTGCTGGACTGTCTCAGCGCTCGGATACGCCACCAAAACTCTGCCCCTGTGCTTTCTTTTCTAAGAAGCTCAGTCCGGCGGTGCGCAATTATGACGTGGGGGACAGGGACCTGTTAGCTGTGGTCCAAGCACTGAAGGTGTGGAGGCATTGGCTTGAGGGGGCTAAACACCCTTTTCTCATTTGACTGACCATCGTAACCTGGAGTACATCCGGGCTATGTTTTTTACCCGATTTGTATTTACGCTCACCTATAGACCAGGGTCACAGAACGCTAAGGCAGACGCCCTGTCCCGACTATATGACACAGAGGAGATGTCCATTGAGCCCACTCCCATACTTCCAGAGTCTTGTCTGGTGGCACCGGTGGTGTGGGAGGTTGATGCGGACATCGAGCGGGTGTTACGTATCGATCCTACTCCCCCACAGTGTCCAGAGGGTAGGAAGTACGTGCCGCTCGAGGTTCGTGATCGATTGATATATTGGGCTCACATGTCACCCTCCTCTGGTCATCCTGGTATTGGTCGGACAGTGCACTGCCTTAGTGGGAAGTACTGGTGGCCCACTTTAGCTAAGGATGTGAGGGTTTATGTTTCCTCTTGCTCAGTGTGTGCCCAGTGTAAGGCGCCAAGACACCTGCCCAGAGGGAAATTACAACCCCTACTCGTTCCACAACGGCCGTGGTCTCACCTATCGGTGGATTTGTCACGGACCTTCCCCCCTCCCAGGGGAACACGACGATATTGGTCATTGTGGATCGGTTTTCGAAGGCCTGCCGTCTCATTCCTATGCCAGGTCTCCCTACAGCCCTACAAACTGCTGACGCCCACGTCTTCCGGCACTACGGGGTACCTGAGGATATAGTGTCTGATCGGGGTCCCCAGTTCACCTCTAGAGTCTGGAGGGCGTTTATGGAACGTCTGGGGGTCTCTATTAGCCTTACCTCAGGTTTTCACCCTGAGAGTAATGGGCAGGTGGAGAGAGTGAACCAGGATGTGGGTAGGTTTCTGAGGTCCTATTGCCAGGACCGGCAGGGGGAGTGGTCGGGATATATCCCCTGGGCAGAGATAGCCCAAAACTCACTCCGCCACTCCTCAACTAACCTTGCGCCTTTTCAGTGTGTGCTAGGTTATCAGCCGGTCCTGGCACCTTGGCATCAGAGCCAGATCGAAGCCCCTGCGGTGGACGAGTGGTTTCGGTGCTCGGAAGAAACCTGGAACGCTGCGCATGTCCATCTGCAGCGGGCTATCAGGCGGCAAAAGGTGAGCACCGATCGCCACCGCAGTGAGGCTCCGGTGTATGCACCGGGAGATCGGGTCTGGCTCTCGACCCGAAACCTGCCCCTTCGCCTGCCCTGCCGGAAGCTGGGTCGGCGGTTTGTGGGGCCATTTAAAGTCCTGAGGAGATTGAACGAGGTATGTTATAGGTTACAACTGCCCATTAATTATGAATAGCTGTAGCATTAATCTCACCAATTGCTGTTTTTATAATGAGAAGGCGACCAAAAAACAGGTTCCTATTGTAATGGAAGATTTTGTATGGAAAGCCAAGTTGAAGCCAACAATAGATGTTGTCCTCCTCATAATAACCACACGTGGTTTTAGTGCAACAGAGTAGCGCAAGCAACACCCTTCAATTGAAGCATAATAAAAAAATCCCCATAGAAATCTGTCAATTTAAGATAGTGATACTTTTGGTCATGTAGTGTATGTGGACACTTGCTCGTCGAACATCTCAAGGTCCCCCCCTTGCTGCAATAACAGCCTCTACTCTTCTGGGAAGGCTTTCCAAAAGATGTTGGAACATTTCTGCGCAGACTTGCTTCCATTCAGCACTAGTGAGGTCGGGTACTGATGTTGGGCGATAAGGCCTGGCTCGCAGTTGGCGTTTCAATTCATCCCAAAGGTGTTCGATGTGGTTGAGGTCAGGGCTCTGTGCAGGCCAGTCAAGTTCTTCCCACCGATCTCGACAAACAATTTATGTATGGACTTTGCTTGGTGCACGGGGGCATTGTCATGCTAAAACAGGAAAGGGCCTTCCCCAAACTGTTGCCACAAAGTTGGAAGTACAGAATCGTCTAGAATGTAATCGTATTCTGTAGCGTTAAGATTTCCTTTCACTTGAACCAAGGGGCCTAGCCCGAACCATGAAAAACAGCACCAGACCATTATTCCTCCTCAAACAAACTTTACAGTTGGCACTATGCATTAGGGCAGGTAGCCTTCTCCTGGCATTCACCAAACCCAGATTTGTCCGTCAGACTGCCAGATAGTGAAGCGTTTGCACTGAGAACACGTTTGCACTGCTCCAAAATCCAATGGCGGCGAGCTTTACACCACTCCAGCTGAAGCTTGGCATTGTGCATGTTGATCTTAGGCTTGTGTGCGGCTGCTCGGACATAGAAACCCATTTCATGAAGTTCACGAGGAACAGTTATTGTGCTGATGTTGCTTCCAGAGGCAGTTTGGAACTCGGTAGTGAGTGTTGCAACCGAGGACAGACAATTTTTACGCTCTACGCACTTCAGCACTCTGTGGTCCTGTTCTGTGAGCTTGTTTGACCTACCACTTCGCGGCTGAGCCGTTGTTGCTCTTATACGTTTCCACGTCACAATAACAGCACTTACAGTTGATGTCTCTAAAATGACATCTTTGAATCTTAATTTGGAGGAGATATTTAACATAGTTTTAGAAAAACGTGGTCACATAAAAACCTGAGGGAGATTTTTAGGTAAGTCCGTTAGCAAATTTTGCATCTGCACAGTTCTTCCACTAAATTAGTTTTTGTAAAGGAACTTCACTCACCTGGTTGTCTAAGTATTAATTGAATGGAAAAACCAGCAGACACTAGGCCCTCCATGGAATGAGTTTGACACCCCTGCTGTATTGTATTGTATTGTGCTCTACTCCCTGTACTGTGCTATCGAAACTTGTAAAACATCAAGGCCAGGGTGGACTGACCCAATTTCAACGTCCATGGACTTCCGGTGTCGGTCGGTGCTCAGTGGGTGAGGATGCTGATTTAAGTAAATGGAAGAGATGGGGCTCATGGGTAGGTGAAAGTAAGATCTGGAAGAGGTGACATTAACTGGAGAGGGAAAGGCAGAGAGAGGGAGGGGGTTGTCCAAACTCAGACTGTTTTAACACACTTGGTTTGACCACCAGATGACAGAGAAAATAAACAGTTGTGAGCTGAACTTAATAGTATACCAGTGGAAGGGAGGACCATAGCAGGTGACCCAACTGTGTTTGTGATTTATGATTTTCCAATGTAGCCAATTCAGCCCACCCCTCCCACCCAACGGCTTAGACTTTGAGGTTAACTATTTAAATGTCGGAACGTACAGACCAGACAGTTCTCTGTAAATGTGTGGATACATTTAATCAGGTCATATAAACTCAACTCCTATTACAACCCTGATCATGCCAAAAAGACAGTTTGTTTCAATCAAATGAAGCACCCTGACAGTAGCCTAAGCACCCTCCCGTTATCTTCTATCCCTGGCCTGGTGTCATCAAAGAATGTTACGCAGAACTGGACCATGCACAATAAAATAGGGATTGAACGATGTGGTCTTCTGTAGCTTAGTTGGTAGAGCATGGTGCTATTTTACTCATGTTAGGCTGTCAACCATGTCCAATCACCATCTCCATGTTTAAAAAGCAAATCATGTACAGTGAGGGAAAAAAGTATTTGATCCCCTGCTGATTTTGTACGTTTGCCCACTGACAAAGAAATGATCAGTCTATAATTTTAATGGTAGGTTTATTTGAACAGTGAGAGACAGAATAACAACAAAAAAATCCAGAAAAACGCATGTCAGAAATGTTATAAATTGATTTGCATTTTAATGAGGGAAATAAGTATTTGACCCCTCTGCAAAACATGACTTAGTACTTGGTGGCAAAACCCTTGTTGGCAATCACAGAGGTCAGACGTTTCTTGTAGTTGGCCACCAGGTTTGCACACATCTCAGGAGGGATTTTGTCCCACTCCTCTTTGCAGATCTTCTCCAAGTCAATAAGGTTTTGAGGCTGACGTTTGGCAACTCGAACCTTCAGCTCCCTCCACAGATTTTCTATGGGATTAAGGTCTGGAGACTGGCTAGGCCACTCCAGGACCTTAATGTGCTTCTTCTTGAGCCACTCCTTTGTTGCCTTGGCCGTGTGTTTTGGGTCATTGTCATGCTGGAATACTTATCCACGACCCATTTTCAATGCCCTGGCTGAGGGAAGGAGGTTCTCACCCAAGATTTGATGGTACATGGCCCCGTCCATCGTCCCTTTGATACGGTGAAGTTGTCCTGTCCTTTAGCAGAAAAACAACCCCAAAGCATAATGTTTCCACCTCCATGTTTGACGGTGGGGATGGTGTTCTTGGGGTCATAGGCAGCATTCCTCCTCCTCCAAACACGGCGAGTTGAGTTGATGCCAAAGAGCTCCATTTTGGTCTCATCTGACCACAACACTTTCACCCAGTTCTCCTGTGAATCATTCAGATGTTAATTTGCTAACTTCAGACGGACCTGTATATGTGCTTTCTTGAGCAGGGGGACCTTGCGGGCGCTGCAGGATTTCAGTCCTTCACGGCGTAGTGTGTTACCAATTGTTTTCTTGGTGACTATGGTCCCAGCTGCCTTGAGATCATTGACAAGATCCTCCCATGTAGTTATGGGCTGATTCCTCACCGTTCTCATGATCATTGCAACTCAACGAGGTGAGATCTTGCATGGAGCCCCAGGCCAAGGGAGATTGACAATTATTTTGTGTTTCTTCCCTTTGCTAATAATCGCACCAACTGTTGTCACCTTCTCACCAAACTGCTTGGCGATGGTCTTGTAGCCCATTCCAGCCTTGTGTAGGTCTACAATCTTGTCCCTGACAAGGGTGGAGAAATGTAATCATTCTCAAATTAATTGATAGAGCTATGGATACAAAATGACAATTTTAACCATATTCAGAGTCTAAACAGTGTTTGTTTAAATTGCATTGTTTACAAATAATTGCATAGAACAAGCATGTTTTTTGGGTTCTGATTGGGTATGACAATTGGACTAAGCTCATGAGGCATTTCTTATATAAGTTATATTACTCAAGAATCAATGGGTGTGTGTAAATAATGTAAAAGTCAACAAAATGTATGACGCAATCACAGATTGACCATTCAAATAACTATAACTTATAAATGTCTCAAGAGCATAGCACAACTGTCTTACCCTATCATAACCCCAAATATAAGGTTGCATTACGCCATTGTTTATAACAGGAACATAAACCATGTATAGCTACAAAATGAATGGGGTAAACCTACTCTAAGGTTTTGTATTAGGCTGTTTGAGAGATGGTTTGAATCCTAATCAACCCATCCAATGTGAGTACATCTGTTGTTAAAGTATAGTAGATCAATAAAGCTACAGTACTCCAGCAGTAGTCACGCCGCTTATGCTGAAAAGCCTTATCAGTGCATAAGTCAAATTAGCTTTTGAATTTCCTGTCTTTTTCGTCTTCAGACAAAAGCTAATATTTCACTTAAAACATTAGTTTAAAAAAATGTTTTATTATTTAAGAATAAATGAGTATAAATCATTAATAAAAATAAAAAAATGGGTGTACCAATCGCAAATTGTCCCTTTAATGGTCTGTTTTAATACTAAATTAGAGGCAGGATAACTGGCACCGGTCCAGAATCTCTACCACAGCGGCAAAGGAAAACAGTACAATGCAGCAAAAAAGTTTGCACAATTTACTCCCCATTGAATATCATTCATCTCTGCCCTCTGACTCATGTTTATTGTTGGGGTTGTAAGTGCTGTGTTGTGTTTTACTCTGTGTTTCTGTAAAACCTGTTTCTGTCTCTAGTTGTTTTTCTCTGTCCTACAGCTGTCTCACTTGCTCTGGCTTTGAATGGAGTCTTCACAAACACTATCAAGTTGATAGTTGGCAGGTAAATACATAATGCAATACACCAACTAGACTCAAACACCGTTTGGGAAAATGTTGGTTTATATGTCAAAGCAGAGTACCTTGTAGCTCAATTGGTAGAGTATGGCGCTTGTAACGCCAGGGTAGTGGGTTCGATCCCTGGGACCACCCATACGTAAAAATGTATGCACACATGACTGTAAGTCGCTTTGGATAAAAGCGTCTGCTAAATGGCATATTATTATTATTATTATTATTATTATTATTATTATTATTATTATATATTATTAATTGGCATTCACATTCAGTTATGCTGTGGCATTTTCAAAATTGAACAAAATGCCTTTGACATGTATTGAAAGTTAACTTCAGGTGGCATAAGCAATAACAAACCACTTTTTAAGAGAGCGATTGATTTAAGTGTATTTTTTCCTTTCCCTACAGACCCAGGCCAGACTACTTCCAGCGCTGTTTCCCAGATGGACAGGTGAATGTTACAATGATGTGCACCGGAGAACCAGACCTGGTGTCAGAGGGACGCAAGAGTTTCCCCAGCAGCCACTCCTCCTGTGAGTACTAGTCAGTCAGCAGCAACAACACTGTTAATCAGTATGTTTTAGGGATCAGCTTGAGCCAGTCAAGGCACATAATCACTCATCTTGATTAGGGCTGTGGTGGTCATGAAATGTTGTCAGCCAGTTATTGTCATGCAAAAGACTGAGGGTCTCACGGTAATTGAATACACATTTATCATCTCCAGGCCTCAACGCTTACAAGCCGCTGATACGGGCCTTTGAAACATCTACATTTTAAAGTCTAATAAATCAATGTAATATACACCATCACAATAAATCCATTATTTATTTTAGGCAGGTCTAAAGAAACATGATATGAAGAAAATGTATTTCAGAAGAACAGAGTAAGAGTTACACTACTGTATGTTATCTGGCTATGCGCCATGCCATAGGCTGTAGGCTTGTTAATTTAGCAGACAAGATATGCTTATAAGTCCCGTGCCATTATTTTATATTATATAATTTTATTGTAAGAACAATATAATTCAACTTAGCTGAATAAAATATAAATAATATAATTCCCATTTAGGATCGAGTGCGCATATGAGTGTCACGGCTGATGTGGATGCGGTGTGGGAGTCAGGCGCAGGACACAGAAGCTTAGTCGCAACGACTTTAATAGTCAAAAAGGCAATAACCAAAATAACGTGCCTCTAACACAGGAGGCGAGCAATTACGCTAACAGTGCGTAAAAGACTAAATACTCGAGAACACAATAACGATGCACCAAACGGACAGGCGTACAACAACACACAACTGCAAACAAAACCAAAGGAAACTTATAGGTGACATAATCAATACATAATACGAGACAGGTGCACCAACAAAACAAAACCAAACAAACATAGAGAACATCAAACGGTAGCAGCTAGTACTCCGGGGACGACGAACGCCGAAGCCTGCCCGAACAAGGAGGAGGAGCAGCCTCGGCGGAATTCGTGACAGTACCCCCCCCCCTTGACGCGCGGCTCCAGCCGTGCGCCGACCCCGGCCTCGGGGACGGCCAGGAGGACGTGGAGCAGGGCGCGTAGGATGACTCCGGTGGAACTCAGTCAGGAGGGATGGATCTAAAATGTCCCTCCTAGGCACCCAGCACCGTTCCTCCGGACCGTACCCCTCCCACTCCACGAGATATTGTAGACCCCCCATCCGACGTCTCGAATCCACGATGGACCGGACTGAGTACGCCGGAGCCCCCTCGATGTCCAGTGGGGGCGGAGGGGTCTCTCTTATCTCACACTCCTGGAGTGGACCAGCTACCACCGGCCTGAGGAGAGACACATGGAATGAGGGGTTAATGTGATAGTCATTAGGCAATTGCAACTTGTAACACACCTCGTTCAATCTCCTCAGGACTTTAAATGGCCCCACAAAACCGCCGGCCAAGCTTCCGGCAGGGCAGGCGAAGGGGCAGGTTTCGAGTCGAGAGCCAGACTCGATCTCCCGGGGCGTATACAGGACCCTCACTGCGGTGGAGATCGGCGCTCGCCTTCTGCCTGCGGATGGCCCGCTGCAGATGTACGTGTGCAGCGTTCCACGTCTCCTCCGAGCGCCGAAACCACTCATCCACCGCAGGAGCCTCGATCTGGCTCTGATGCCATGGTGCCAGAACCGGCTGATACCCTAACACGCACTGAAAAGGGGTCAGGTTAGTAGAGGAGTGGCGAAGAGAGTTCTGAGCCATCTCTGCCCAGGGGATATACCCCGACCACTCCTCCTGCCGGCCCTGGCAATATGATCTCAGAAACCTACCCACATCCTGGTTCACTCTCTCCACCTGCCCATTACTCTCAGGGTGGTAACCCGAGGTAAGGCTAACCGAGACCCCCAAGCGTTCCATGAACGCCCTCCAGACTCTAGAGGTGAATTGGGGACCCCGATCAGACACTATATCCTCGGGAACTGCGTAGTGCCGGAAGACGTGGGTGAACAAAGCCTCAGCGGTCTTTAGGGCAGTAGGGAGACCCGGCATTGGAATGAGACGACAGGCCTTAGAGAACCGATCCACAACGACCAGAATAGTGGTATTCCCCTGAGAGGGGGGAAGGTCTGTGACAAAGTCCACCGAGAGGTGAGACCACGGCCGTTGTGGAACGGGCAGGGGTTGTAACTTCCCCCTGGGCAGGTGTCTAGGCGCCTTACACTGAGCGCACACCGAGCAGGAGGAGACATAAACCCTCACGTCCCTAGCCAATGTTGGCCACCAGTACTTAACACTAAGGCAGTGCACTGTCCGGCCAATACCTGGATGTCCAGAGGAGGGTGACGTATGAGCCCAATAAATGAGACGATCATGGACCTCGAGCGGCACGTACGTCCGACCCACTGGACACTCTGGGGGAGTAGGGTCGGTGCGTAACGCCCGCTCAATTTCCGCATCGACCTCCCATACCACCGGTGCCACCAGACAAGACTCCGGCAGTATGGGAGTGGGCTCAATGGACCTCTCATCTGTGTCATACCGCCGGGACAGGGCGTCTGCCTTACCGTTCTGGGACCCTGGGATGTAAGTGATCTTAAAAACAAACCGGTTCAGAAACATGTTCCACCTAGCCTGACGAGGGTTCAATCTCCTAGCTGCCCGGATGTACTCCAGGTTACGATGGTCAGTCAGAATGAGAAAAGGGTGTTGAGCCCCCTCAAGCCAATGCCTCCACACCTTTTGGGCTTGAACCACGGCTAACAGCTCCCTGTCCCCTACGTCATAATTACGTTCCGCCGGGCTGAGCTTTTTAGAATAAAAAGCTCAGGGACGGAGCTTAGGAGGCGTGCCGGAGCGTTGCGACAGTACTGCCCCAATACCGGCCTCTGACGCGTCCACCTCTACCTAGAACGCTAAAACGGGGTCCGGGTGAGCCAGCACCGGAGCCGAAATGAACAGGTCCTTCAGTTTACAAAACGCCCTGTCCGCTTCAGCCGACCACTTTAAACGCACCGGGCCCCCCTTCAGCAGGGAAGTAATGGGAGCTGCTACCTGTCCAAAACCCCGGATAACTTCCGGTAGTAATTGGCAAAACCCAAAAACTGCTGCACCTCTTTAACAGTGGTTAGGGTTTGCCAGTTACGCACGGCTGACACACGGTCAATCTCCATCTTCACCCCTGACGCTGACAACCGATGACCCAAGAAGGAGATGGACTCCTGGAAAAACCGACATTTCTCTGCCTTGACATACAAATCATGCTCCAACAGCCTACCCAACACTCGGCGCACCAGGGCTACATGCTCGGCTCATGTAGCAGAGTACACTAGGATGTCGTCAATGTACACTACCACTCCCTGCCCATGCAGGTCCCGGAAGATCTTTTCCACAAATGATTGGAAGACTGAAGGAGCATTCATTAACCCGTATGGCATGACAAGATACTCATAATGACCTGAGGTGGTACTAAATGCCGTCTTCCATTCATCTCCCTCCCTAATGCGCACCAAGTTATAAGCGCTCCTGAGATCCAGTTTTGTGAAGAAACGCGCTCCGCGTAATGATTCAGTGGAAGAGGAAGAGGGTAACTGTATTTCACAGTGATCTGATTGAGACTACGGTAATCAATATACGGGCGCAACCCTCCATCCTTCTAATTCACAAAAAAGAAACTCGAGGACGCAGGGGAAGTGGAGGGCCGTATGTATCCTTGTCTCAGGGACTCAGCTATGTATGTCTCCATAGCCGCCGTCTCCTCTTGAGACAGAGGATACACATGGCTCCGCGGGAGTGCCGCACCTGTCTGGAGGTTTATCGCACAATCTCCCTGTCTGAGGTGGCAATCGTGTCGCCCTCGTCTTGCTGAACACGAGTGCCAAATCCTCATACTCAGGGGGAATGTGCATTGCGGGCACTTGGTTCGGACTCTCCACCGTGGTCGCCCCAACGGAAACACCTAAACATCGCCCAACACACTGGCCAGACCATTCCTTGAGAGCCCTCTGTTGCCACGAAATGGTGGGGTCATGGGTGATTAACCAAGGAAGCCCCAGCACCACGGGATACGCAGGGGAGTCAATTAGATACAACTGAATAATCTCCTCATGACCCCCCTGCGTCTTCATCTTTATTGGCGCTGTGACCTCCCTAATCAACCCAGATCCCAACGGGCGGCTATCTAGGGCATGGACAGGAAAAGGTGCATCAACGGGCAGGAGGGGAATCCCTAACTTAGAACAACATTTCCGATCAATACAATTCCCAGCTGCGCCTGAATCGACTAGCGCCATGCTGGGAATGAGATGCAACCTGAGGAAATACCACAGGTATACACAAGTGAACAACAGAGAGCTCTGGGTGAGTGGGGCGCCTACTCACCTGAAATGACTCCCCAGTGCGCGACCTGTTGCCCCGATTCCCTGGAGACCCTCTCCAGCACCTAGCCGCAGTGTGTCCGCCACGGCCACAGCTGGTGCAGGGGACGGCCCCCCTCGGGTTCTCTCTCCTTCTCTCTCTAGCGCCAGCACCCCCGAGCTCCATAGGGCTCGGCTCGGAGGTGCTGGGGGATGGAATGGACGGCCCCAACTCGGGACGTCCGCGGGTGGCCAGCAGGGTATCCAGACGGATGGACATGTCCACTAGCTGGTCGAAGGACAGGTTGGTGTCCCTGCAGGCCAGCTCTCGACGAACGTCCTCACGCAGGCTACACCGATAGTGGTCGATGAGGGCCCTCTCATTCCATCCCGCATCCACCGCGAAATCCAGGGCGAACTCCTGTGCGCTCCTCTTCCCCTGTCGGAGGTGGAACAGACGCTCCCCCGCCGCTTTACCCTCAGGAGGGTGATCGAAAACAGCCCTGAAGCGGCGGGAGAACTCCGCGTAGCTGATGATGGCGGCGTCTATTCCCCTCCATTCGCCGTTGGCCCACTCCAACGCCTTGCCGGAGAGACAGGAGATGAGGGCGGAAACGCTCTCGTATCCCGAGGGCGCCGGGTGTATGGTGGCTAGGTAGAGTTCCACCTGAAGGAGGAACCCCTGACACCCGGCTGCGGTGCCATCATACGCCCTCGGGAGCAAGAGCCGAATCCCACTGGATTCCGGAGCTGGTCTGGTGGGACTGGCCGATGGTGGTGGTAATGTAGGAGGAGGTGTGGGCACGCCTCCCCTTTCCCATCGGCGCAGGGTGTTTTCATCACCTCCTGCATGGCGGAGCCGAGTTGCTGGATCCTGGCGTCCTGGCAGCTGACCCGATCCTCCAGCGACTCGGTCGGCGCAGCCGCTCCTGCTGACTCCATAGTATGGTGTGTTGTTCTGTCACGGCTGATGTGGATGCGGTGTGGGAGTCAGGCGCAGGACACAGAAGCTTAGTCACAATGACTTTAATAGTCAAAAAGGCAATAACCAAAATAACGTGCCTCTAACACAGGAGGCGAGCGATTACGCTAACAGTGCGTAAAAGACTAAATACTCGAGAACACAATAACGATACACCAAACGGACAGGCGTACAACAACACACAACTGCAAACAAAACCAAAGGAAACTTATAGGTGACATAATCCATACATAATACGAGACAGGTGCACCAACAAGACAAAACCAAACAAACATAGAGAACATCAAACGGTAGCAGCTAGTACTCCGGGGACGACGAACGCCGAAGCCTGCCCGAACAAGGAGGAGGAGCAGCCTCGGCGGAATTCATGACAATGAGCGCAAAAGTGATAATTTGAAACACGCTAGATTTAGAGTTATTTGGCAACTTTAGTTGTGAATGATACAAACCTTAGAATGTCTTAGAAATCAAAATATATATGGGTTGTATGATGCAACTATAGGTTATTGATGATTTGAGAAAGTTGCAAAAACCTATGTTCCTTGCCTCAGGCTGCAAACGCTGTTCTCTCAAGTGATCATATTTTCATCCATCAGACTATTCTCAGTTGAATCTCGTCTTTACTAATATGTAAAATTTGTTTAGATTTAGAATGGCCCATTATTAAATGGGCACGAACAGGGGCAGGGAAAAAAAGACATGTCATCCGTATGCACTCGAATAGCGATTCAATGCATCAACCACTGTTTGAGGGGCATGCAGCCCCAAACTCTGTATGCCATAGGTTCTCCAACCCTCTTCCTGCAGCTACCCAGTGCTTAATTTGGGAAACCAAGTGAAATTTGTTTGGGAACATCGATAGTAATATGTTTTCACAACTAAACATATTTCATTAAACTGTTGACAGCCCTTCTCTCTACACAATGGTGAGATACTCTGTAGCTAAAGGTAATGTGTCAGCCTATAAAAAAAAGCCCTATTACTAGGCTATTCAAATTCACTATAAGTGAAAGCTAACTCTGTAAGTTGAACAATCGATGAACCATTAGCATAGCCTGGCATTTCTAACACACGGCCCATTTTTTTCCTTGAGGCCCCCACACCGGCCCATTTATTTGCTTGAGGCCCCCATTATTAGCCAGATAATTACCTTTTTGCTAAAAAAACTAAAACAAATTAGACAGGCCCACTAGGCTAAAAACGGACCAGCCAATCTTGCATTTGCCCGAAATGCCAGATGGCCAGTCCGCCCCTGCATGGATATAAAGTTTGAAGCGTAGCATATGCTAACCAGTCCATCCAATACAGTCCAAACTCAAAGGCGATTACTAGAATTGGAGTATAGACTAGACCAATTATGTACCAAAGACATCTTAAATCAGTTTTTTCAAAATGTTCTGCCATGTGTAATATGCGGTAAGCTATGTATTGTATAACGGCACAATCCTTATTTTAATTCAGTTTTTTTTTCAGGCTTGGGCTCATATATAGGACTATGCATATGCATAAGCTCTAATATGCGTATGGTTGTTTTGAATGAATCATCACCTTAGAAAGTGCTGTCCATTTTGTTGTGTTAGGCTTATCCATATGCATCCACAATGATCATGTTTTCCACTCAGTTTCAACCTGTTGTTGAACTTCTTTCTTCAAATTGATCAATCACAGTGAGGTAAGTTTGAAAAGCAAGATACTGTTTTGATGATAAGTGTTTGATTTGATTTTCGATACCATTTGCATTGATGTCAGAATGGTTAGAGGAACAATAGAGCCCTGAGTACGAGGCCATTAGCGACTTGATGGTCGTTAGCGATTTGAGTATGTCCAGTTGGGTATGTCCAGTTAGGTATGTCCAGAGTGCATAAAAGGAGCTTACCGTTACTCAACGGTCATACGGTCACCACAACAGCCCTAATCTTGATCACATAATGAGTAGTTATTTAGGATGCAATATGATTTGTAGATCAGTGATTCTGTGTAGTCCGGCTGCAATGTAGTCAATCTGAAACATACCTCTGTCAGTAGGCTAGATATCATATTGTCACAGGGACACCTTTCATTACAGCTAAAGATGGCTGTATTACAGCAGAGAGGAAGAGGAAAAGCAAGAGGGTTTTACTTCACTCAAAAACTGTCCACAAAAATATGCATTTTTGTATGGAGGTCAATGAGAGTGTTGAATTTGGTCAACAGACAATGGAATTGCTAATTTACTACATTAGGCTTATTTGAGCTAATATACATTTCGTAATGTGTAGGTTATTACGAATGCATTGATTAAATTGACGCCCGTGGCATTTTGGTGACTTTATATTGAAGTTGTGCCTGTTGTTCACACGCGTATCTGCCCTCTCATTGGCTAGAATGGTCTCACCTGATCTCGCCTCCTCCCGCCTTCCTTCCATCTTTGAGGACATGTATTTCCATTGTTAGAGTGGTCACACAACTATCTTCTCAATATAATAGATAATCTTTGATTACAGTAAGCCTAACAAAATGGAAGGTATTTTCCTTTCCAATTATCGAATCATCCTATGAATGCTTCTAGTCAGGATCAATGCCAAGTATGGCACCCTATTCCCTATAGTGCACTACTTCTGACCAGAGCCTATGGGTGCGCCGGAACTGATTTAAATCGGCCAGAGTCTGGCTGCCGGGCTCAGCTCGACATATTGAATGACTGCCCAGAATCAGGCCGAGTACATCGGGCCAATTCTGTCTGCCAGAACTAAGCCGACACAGCAGGTGTCTTGTCAGAATCCCCCCAGAAGTGGTCCGATGCAAATTCTTGTTAATATTACCCATCCACCTCCCTGATTCAGTTGCATTATACCATATCAAAATACAAACAGCTGTAACAACCTCACACAATGAACAAGTAGACATTTACTCATTGCTTAGAATTTATTTATTTTTCAACAGGAAATGTGTTATAATTCATTCAAAAAAATCACATAGGGAACAGAGCCCACATCCACAACATCAACTACAGTCTCCAGCTGCAGCATGGCCTGTGACAAACTGTCCTGTCACAAAAAAATAGCCTTTCACTACAACCAATACCATTGACATCAATCTCACTGTAGTATCAACTTTGCTAAGTTATACTTAAATCCGAACTGGTTCTCAAGCAAATTAGTAAGATTGTCTCACCCACTGTTCAAGAAAGGCCTTTTTCCCTTTATTCAGATTACAACCTCTCACTTTCAGTTATTTGAAAAGGAAATAATCTCCCAAATGTCACTATTTCTAAAACAAGCCATAGAAAGTTGGTTGCAATTTCAATTTAATCCTCCAGAAACGACAGAAAAAATAATGCAACAAATATTGTGGTTAAATTCAAATATACTAATTGACAAAAAACCTTTATTTTTTGACAGAATGTTTAAAAAAGGTATAATCTTCGTAAATGATATCATCGGTAGGACTGGTGGAGTTATGTCGCACATGCAGCTAACAAAAACATATGGAAATGTCTGCTCTACCCAAAATTACAACCAAATAATTGCAGCCTTACCGCAAAAGAAAGAAGAGGAAAGTTGAAGGGGGAGAAAGTAAGGAACTTGTCTGTCGGCCTTGCATTAAAGAACATAATTGGTTAAGGAAAACTGTGATAAATAAAAAAGTATATCAGTTTCACTTAAGGACCAAAGGATTGACAGCCGTCCCATATAGATTGCAAAATAGTTGGGAAGAGATCTTTGACGTACCGATCCCATGGCATAGTGTTTATGAACTGACACGCAAAACGACACCGGATTCAAAAATTAGAATCTTTCAATTTAAATTATTATATAAAATTCTTGCTACCAATAGAATGTTATTTATATGGGGGATACAATCTTCCCAGCTCTGCAGATTTTGCTGTGAAGAGATAGAATCATTAGATCATTTGTTTTGGTTCTGTCCATTTGTAGCTTGTTTTTGGACACAGGTCCAGGAATGGCTAAAGGATTGCAATATTTACCTGGAACTAACCTTGCAGATAGCATTACTGGGTGATCTGAAAAGTCATAGTCAATCAATCAATAATATAATAATACTTTTAGCAAAAATGTTTATTTTTAATTCACAATCTGTAGAAGCAATGAGAATAGAAAGGTTCAGAACTTTTGTAAAACATCACAGTACGGTTGAAATATATATGGCAAATAGAAATCCTATATGGATGGTGTTAAGAGATAGATGGGAGGTATTGAATAGAGTTGAAGGATGGGACTAATAACAAATAACAACAAATAATAACAAAGATAGCTAATAATGTAAGCATACTGTGTCCATAATAAGTATATAGGTTGTATGTTGGGAGCTTTTGGGAAAGAGCACAGTTAGAAAGATATGGCATTTAGAAGCAAACCGGATGGACATCATGAAAATGATTGGAGAGGTTGAGAGTAGAAGAAGTTCAGGAGCAAAAAAATAAATAAATATATATATATATATATATATATATATATATAGATATAGAATTATTGTAAAATTAACTCTGTCCATAAGGTGTAGATAGTAAGTATAGACCGGAAGTAGAGGCCTGGGCGTTGTTGTTCACTAATTTACTCCAAGTAGGGAAAGGATGGTGGGGTTGAAAAGTAATAAAGGGGAATATATATATAAAAAATAAAAAAAACATGGGGGATTGGAAGTGATGCAGACAATTACATTGATAGAAGATACAATATATCTGCAATATTAAGCTGATCCATCCCCCCCCCCAAAAAAAAAAAAAAAAAAAAAAAAAAACTTTGCTCTGGGGCCATGGAAGCCTCAGTTTTTACATTTTAACATGGCCTGAGAAGAACAATATGGGCAGGCCAATACAAGCATTGCCAATATGCCTAATTTTACTAGTGTCTTTTGTAGAGCATTTTGGCTAGTTTTATGGTAAAGAGATAATGTATATAATGTGCATAGCCTTTATACTTCTAAGTGATGACTGAATACTATCTCAGAGTTTCCTTTTGAAAACTTCTTAGGTCCAATTATTTTGTTGTTGTTGTTGTTATACGACGGATGTCAGAGTTTGAACATGCAACCTCTGATGGTTGTAGTGAAGTACCATGTTTAAAAATCTCACAATGATGGTCCTATTCCACAACATGTCACATGTCCTGTCAGTGAATATAAGGAAATATATCTTGCGAAATTCTGCATCAAGGTTGTTTCAGTGGTGACAATTCATCAAAAGCAAAGACAGCACAGGCTTATAGCGACCAAATGAGGTTGCAGCTGTGTAAAAACATCATACTTCAAAATAATTGGGAAAAGTTCAATGCCTTTTTTTAGTGGCTATTGCATAGTAAAAATAAAACGCACCAACGTGTTGCAGCTCACAGGCTTTCTTCAGGGTGCCTGTGAGCGTACAATGAGTCACTCCTCTCAGAAACTTTTTTGACTACCCAATGAACTCAAATTATGGAGTGTGGCTTTAAGGTTTTTCTGATCATCTATGTGAACATTTATTATATATCAAATATAAAGTACTGAGAACAGTTGAAAAAAAATTGGTCTTCATTGTTAACTGTGCATCAAGAGGTGTCTAACATAATGAGCATTACATCACATCTCTATTGAAATATGAAGGTATGACACTGGTAATAAACATGCACAGGTTTACATATTAAAAGTAGCATGACCTTTCCCGAGACCAACTGTGCCCTAAGAACTGATAGGATTTGTACTTTACAGTCTGATGAGGAACATCACAAAGAGACCTCCCCACTTAGCGAAATTGGTTTTGGTATGGTAACAGCATTCCCCGTTATTGTGTTTAGTGTGTAGGGTAGGGTATACTGTCGGGTGTAGTAGTTACAGCACTCCTCTACTCGAACTGGTCGTATTCTCCCCTCTGGTAGTCTTCCACCTCTGTAGCTCAATTGGTAGAGCATGGCGCTTGTAACGCCAGGGTAGTGGGTTCGATCCCCGGGACCACCCATACGTAAAAATGTATGCGCACATGACTGTAAGTCGCTTTGGATAAAAGTGTCTGCTAAATGGCATATTATTATTATTATTATTCAACTGCAGCCTTTGCAGTTCCAGCAGAATCAGCTATTGTTTTTACTTAAGTGTCTCTAATGGTGTTAATTAACCTTTTACTGCAGGGGGCTAAATCAGGGTCACACAGAGTGATTCTTGGTAGTCTGAAACAAATCTACTTTGAAACAAAAGTATACACCTCACACACATGGGCTTATGGGCTTAAAAAAAGAACACACCTGTACCATGGCAGATATAGAGTTGAACTTCATTCAATGTTGAGTTTGCATCCCAATATTACACTTTAAATAAATCACAGAAGACTGAAATATAACAAAACTGTTTAACACAGAAACACCGGATTTTCATTGTTTAAAAAATAATATCATTTATGAATTATGAATTATGCAAAATATTAATAACGTTCCACCCATGAGGCCAAAGCGGGCGCTTTTGGTCATTGACTGCAGGAAAGTGCTACAATCTCATGAAGAACTGCTGCAAAAAATACAAAACAAAACACAAAGAGCGCACATTTAACACCAAGTTATAATTTCTCCTAATCCCCTAAATGTCCAAACAGTTGTGGTTTTATCCCTCATGTCCAGTAAAAAGCATGAGCTGACACACACTCCAAAAATCATGTTAGATGTGCTGTCGGACCATCAAATAATTGGCATATTAATTACTCTTACATAATGTCCACGTAGGCGAGGATATTAGAAATGTTATCAAAGCCAATTGGATGACAACTTGTTTTTAACCAGGACAAAAAATGTATAACTGACTTTTTCCGACATAATATAGGAACAGCAGATTCGCTTATTGTATGGGACACTTTTAAATGTCCCTTTAGAGGCCATGCAATTCAATACTCATCTTTAAAACAAATGCAATTTAGGTCAAAATAATTAATATTAACAAAGGAAATAGAGGGACTAACAGTACAGATAAATAGCAATAAAAACTACCATAGATGCACAGAATATGTTAAAGGAAAAACAAACAGAAATGGAGGAACGTATTCAAGAAAGATCAAGCGTAATATATTATAAAATAAAGCGAACTGGATGGAATGTGAGGAAAAATGCACCAAATTATTTTTTAATCTTCAACATAGAAATGCTACCAAATATTGTTTACTGAAACATGTTACATCCATGATTCACCAAATTATATTTTGAAAGAGGAAGCAAAGTACTGTAAGCATATGTTTTTGTTTCAGTCTCCTCCATCTCCACTAACCAAAGTGAATTGTTTCTATTAATAATGTAAAAGTAACAGCTGTACAGAAAGATTCATGTGAAGGTCAAATTACAGAGGAGGAACTTCTTGATGCAATAAAAGCCTTTAAGTCTGGGAAAACTCCAGGACTAGATGGCATACCAGGTAAGGTAAACCAAACCTTTTTTGATGTACTCAGAGGACCGTTATTAGCATGTTTTAACCACTCCTATAAAATGGTAGATTATCAAATACTCAACAAGAAGGTCTGATTTCATTATTACTGAAACAGTACCCAAGTGGTAAATATAATGATCCAGTCCATTAAAAAAAATCACATACACATGGTTAGCAGATGTTAATGTGAGTGTAACGAAATGCTTGTGCTTTTTGTTCTGACAGGGCAGCAATATCTAGCAAGTTATATCTAATAGTTCCACAACAAAAACCTAATACACACAAATCTAAGTAAAGGAATGGAATAAGAATATATCAATATATGGATGAGCAATGTCATTATCAGAGTGGCATAGGCTAAGATGCAATAGATAGTATAGAATATAGTATATACATATGAGATGGGTAATGCAAAATATGTAAACTTTATTAAAGTGGCATTATTAAAGTTACATTATTAAAGTGACTAGTGTTCAATTTATTAAAGTGGCCAGTGATTTTCAAGTCTATATGTAGGCAGCAGCCTCTCTGTGCTAGTGATGGCTGTTTAACAGTCTGATGGCCTTGAGATAGAAGCTGTTTTTCAGTCTCTCGGCCCCAGCTTTGATGCACCTGTACTGACCTCGCCTTCTGGATGATAGCGAGGTGAACAGGCAGTGGCTCGGGTGGTAGTTGTCCTTGATTATCTTTTTGGCCTTCCTGTGACATCGGGTGCTGTAGTTGTGCTGGAAGGCAGGTAGTTTACCCACGGTGATGCGTTGTGCGGACCGCACCACCCTCTGGAGAGCCCTGCGGTTGTGGGTGGTGCAGTTGCCGTACCAGGCGGTGATACAGCCCGACAGGATGCTCTCAATTGTGCATCTGTAAAAGTTTGTGAGGGTTTTAGGTGACAGGCCACATTTCTTCAGTCTTCGGAGATTGAAGAGACGCTGTTGCGCCTTTTTCACCACACTGTCTGTGTGGGTGGACCATTTTAGTTTGCCAGTGATATGTACGCTGAGGAACTTAAAACTTTCCACCTTCTCCACTGCTGTCCCGTCGATGTGGATGGGGGTACTCCCTCTGTTGTTTCCTGAAGTCCACAATCATCTCCTTTGTTTTTTTTATGTTGAGTGAGAGGTTATTTTCCTGACACCACACTCCGAGAGCCCTTACCTCCTCCCTGTAGGCTGTCTCATCGTTGTTGGTAATCAAGCCTACTACTGTTGTGTCGTCTGCAAACTTGATGATTGAGTTGGAGGCGTGCATGGCTACGCAGTCATGGGTGAACAGTGAGTACAGGAGTGGGCTGAGCACACACCCTTGTGGGGCCCCAGTGTTGAGGATCAGTGAAGTGGACATGTTTCCTACCTTCACCACCTGGGGGCAGCCCGTCAGGAAGTCCGGGACCCAATTGCACAGGGTGGGGTTGAGACCCATGGCCTCAAGCTTGATGATGAGCTTGAAGGGTACTATGGTGTTGAATGCTGAGCTATAGTCAATTAACAGCATTCTTATATAGGTATTCCTCTTGTCCAGATGGGATAGGGCAGTGTGCAGTGTGATGGCAATTGCATCATCTGTGGACCTATTGGTGCGGTATGCAAGTTGAAGTGGGTCTAGGGTGACAGGTAAAGTGGAGGTGATATGATCCTTGACTAGTCTCTCAAAGCACTTACTGATGACAGAAGTGAGTGCTACGGGGTGATAGTCATTCAGTGTTGTGATGCAACAATTCTAGCAAAATGCATAGAACATAGAATTAAAAAGGTATTGTCGGATATTACTCATCCTAATTTTTTACATGGACGATACACATTGGAGATAATATAAGACAAGTACTGGAAACAATAAAATCTATGAAAATCAGGGAAACCAGGCCTGGTATTCATAGATTACTTTGAAAAGGTTTTTGATAAAGTTCTGTGCCTTGCAAAAGTATTCATCCCCCTTGGCGTTTTTCCTATTTTGTTGCATTACAATCTGTAATTTAAATGGATCTTTATTTGGATTTCATGTAAGGGACATACACAAAATATTCCAAATTGGTGAAGTGAAATGAAAAAAATAAATAACGGAAAAGTTGTGCGTGCATATGTATTCACCCCCTTTGCTATGAAGCCCCTAAATACGATCTGGTGCAACCAATTACCTTCAGATGTCACATAATTAGTTAAATAAAGTCCAGCTGTGTGCAATCTAAGTGTCACATGATCTGTCACATGTTCTCAGTATATAAACACCTGTTCTGAAAGGCCCCAGAGTCTGCAACACTACTAAGCAAGCGGCACCATGAAGACCAAGGAGCTCTCCAAACAGGTCAGGGACAAAGTTGTGGAGAAGTACAGATCAGGGTTGGGTTATGAAAAAATATCTGAAACTTTGACCATCCCACTGAGCACCATTAAATCCTATATACAGTGGGGGAAAAAAGTATTTAGTCAGCCACCAATTGTGCAAGTTCTCCCACTTAAAAAGATGAGAGAGTCCTGTAATTTCCATCATAGGTGCACGTCAACTATGACAGACAAAATGAGAATTTTTTTTCCAGAAAATCACATTGTAGGATTTTTAATGAATTTATTTGCAAATTATGGTGGAAAATAAGTATTTGGTCAATAACAAAAGTTTCTCAATACTTTGTTATATACCCTTTGTTGGCAATGACACAGGTCAAACGTTTTCTGTAAGTCTTCACAAGGTTTTCACACACTGTTGCTGGTATTTTGGCCCATTCCTCCATGCAGATCTCCTCTAGAGCAGTGATGTTTTGGTGCTGTCGCTGGGCAACATGGACTTTCAACTCCCTCCAAAGATTTTCTATGGGGTTGAGATCTGGAGACTAGCTAGGCCACTCCAGGACCTTGAAATGCTTCTTACGAAGCCACTCCTTCGTTGCCCGGGCGGTGTGTTTGGGATCATTGTCATGCTGAAAGACCCAGCCACATTTCATCTTCAATGCCCTTGCTGATGGAAGGAGGTTTTCACTCAAAATCTCACGATACATGGCCCCATTCATTCTTTCCTTTACACGGATCAGTCGTCCTGGTCCCTTTGCAGAAAAACAGCCCCAAAGCAAGATGTTTCCACCCCCATGCTTCACAGTAGGTATGGTGTTCTTTGGATGCAACTCAGCATTCTTTGTCCTCCAAACACGACGAGTTGAGTTTTTACCAAAAAGTTCTATTTTGGTTTCATCTGACCATATGACATTCTCCCAATCCTCTTCTGGATCATCCAAATGCACTCTAGCAAACTTCAGACGGGCCTGGACATGTACTGGCTTAAGCAGGGGGACACGTCTGGCACTGCAGGATTTGAGTCCCTGGCGGCGTAGTGTGTTACTGATGGTAGGCTTTGTTACTTTGGTCCCAGCTCTCTGCAGGTCATTCACTAGGTCCCCCCGTGTGGTTCTGGGATTTTTGCTCACCGTTCTTGTGATCATTTTGATCCCACTGGGTGAGATCTTGCGTGGAGCCCCAGATCGAGGGAGATTATCAGTGGTCTTGTATGTCTTCCATTTCCTAATAATTGCTCCCACAGTTGATTTCTTCAAACCAAGCTGCTTACCTATTGCAGATTCAGTCTTCCCAGCCTGGTGCAGGTCTACAATTTTGTTTCTGGTGTCCTTTGACAGCTCTTTGGTCTTGGCCATAGTGGAGTTTGGAGTGTGACTGTTTGAGGTTGTGGACAGGTGTCTTTTATACTGATAACAAGTTCAAACAGGTGCCATTAATACAGGTAACGAGTGGAGGACAGAGGAGCCTCTTAAAGAAGAAGTTACAGGTCTGTGAGAGCCAGAAATCTTGCTTGTTTGTAGGTGACCAAATACTTATTTTTCACCATAATTTGCAAATAAATTCATTAAAAATCCTACAATGTGATTTTCTGGATTTTTTTTCTCAATTTGTCTGTCATAGTTGACGTGTACCTATGATGAAAATTACAGGCCTCTCTCATCTTTTTAAGTGGGAGAACTTGCACAATTGGTGGCTGACTAAATACTTTTTTCCCCCACTGTATTTAAAATTTTAAAGAATATGGCACCACAACAAACCTGCCAAGAGAGGGCCGCCCACCAAAACTCACTGACCAGGTGAGGAGGGCATTAATAGAGAGGCAACAAAGAGACCAAAGATAACCCTGAAGGAGCTGCAAAGCTCCACAGCGGAGATTGGATCATCTGTACATAGGACCACTTTAAGCTGTACACTCCACAGAGCTGGGCTTTATGGAAGAGTGGCCAGAAAAAATATATTGCTTAAAGAAGAAAATAAGCAAACACGTTTGGTGTTTGCTAAAAGGCATGTGGGAGACTCCCCAATCATATGGAAGAAGGTACTCTGGTCAGATGAGACTAAAATTGAGCTTTTTGGCCATCAAGGAAAACACTATGTCTGGTGCAAACCCAACACCTCTCATCACCCCGAGAACACCATCCCTACAGTGAAGCATGGTGGTGGCACCATCATGCTGTGGGGATGTTTTTCATTGGCAGGGACTGGGAAACTGGTCAGATTTGAAGGAAAGATGGATGGTGCTAAATACAGGGAAATTCTTGAGGGAAACCTGTTTCAGTCTTCCAGAGATTTGAGACTGGGACGTTCGGTTGAAGTCGGAAGTTTACATATACCTTAGCCAGATCAATTTAAACTCAGTTTTTCACAATTCCTGACATTTAATCCTTGTAAAAATTCCCTGTTTTAGGTCAGTTAGAATCACCACTTTATTTTAAGAATGTGAAATGTCAGAATAATAGTAGAGAGAATGATTTATTTCAGCATTTCTTTATTTCATCACATTCCCAGTGGGTCAGAAGTTTACATACACTCAATTAGTATTTGGTAGCATTGCCTTTAAATTGTTTAACTTGGGTCAAACGTTTCGGTTAGCCTTCCACAAGCTTCCCACAATGAATTGGGTGCATTTGGCCCATTCCTCCTGACAGAGCTGGTGTAACTGACTCAGGTTTGTAGGCCTCCTTGCTCGCACACACTTTTTCAGTTCTGCTCACAGATTTTCTATAGGATTTAGGTCAGGGCTTTGTGATGGCCACTCCAATACCTTGACATTGTTGTCCTTAAGCCATTTTGCCACAACTTTGGAAGTATGCTTGGGGTCATTGTCCATTTGGAAGACCAATTTGCGACCAAGCTTTAACTTCCTGACTGATGTCTTGAGATGTTGCTTCAATATATCCACATAATTTTCCATCCTCATGATGCCATCTATTTTGTGAAGTGCACCAGTCCCTCCTGCAGCAAAGCACCCCCACAGCATGATGCTGCCACCCCCGTACTTCACGGTTGGGATGGTGTTCTTTGTCTTGCAAGCAACCTCCTTTTTCCTCCAAACATAATGATGGTCATTATGGTCAAACAGCTCTATTTTTGTTTCATCAGACCAGAGGACATTTCTCCAAAAACTCTGATCTTTGTCCCCATGTGCAGTTGCAAACCATAGTCTGGCTTTTTTATGGTGGTTTTGGAGCAGTGGCTTTTTCCTTGCTGAGCGGCCTTTCAGGTTATGTCGATATAAGACTCGTTTTACTGTGGATATAGATACTTTTGTACCTGTTTCCTCCAGCATCTTCACAAGGTCCTTTGCTGTTGTTCTAGGATTGATTTGCACTTTTCCCACCAAAGTACGTTCATCTCTAGGAGACAGAACGCGTCTCCTTCCTGAGCGGTATGCGTGGTCCCATGGTGTTTGTACAGATGAACGTGGTACCTTCAGGTGATTGGAAATTGCTCCCAAGAATGAACCAGACTTGTGGAGGTCTACAATTTTTTTTCTGAGGTCTTGGCTGATTTCTTTTAATTTTCCCATGATGTCAAGCAAAGAGGCACTGAGTTTGAAGGTAGGCCTTGAAATACATCAACAGGTACACCACCACTTGACTCAAATGATGTAAATTAGCCTATCAGAAGCTTCTAAAGCCATGACATCATTTTCTGGAATTTTCCAAGCTGTTTAAAGGCACAGTCAACTTAGTTTATGTAAACTTCTGACCCACTGGAATTGTGATACAGTTAATTATAAGTGAAATAATCTGTCTGTAAACAATTGTTGGAAAAATTACTTGTGTCATTCACAAAGTAGATGTCCTAACAGAATTGCCAAAACTATAGTTTGTTAACAAGAAATATGTGGAGTGGTTGAAAAACTAGTTTTAATGACTCCAACTTCAATTGTAGGTTCACCATCCAGTAGGACATTCACCATTCAGTAGGACAATGACCCTAAGCATACTGTTAACGCAGCACTTGAGTGGTTTAAGGGGAAACATTAAAATGTCTTGGAATGGCCTAGTCAAAGCCCAGACCTCAATCCAATTGAGAATCTGTGGTATGACTTAAAGATTGCTTTACACCAGTGGAACCCATCCAACTTGAAGGAGCTGGAGCAGTTTTGCCTTGAAGAATGGGAAATAATCCTAGTGGCTAGATGTGCCAAGCATATAGAGACATACCCCAAGAGACTTGCATCTGTAATTGGTGCAAAAGCTGTCTCTACAAAGTATTGACTTTGGGGTTGTGAATAGTTTTTTTGTGTTATTGCTTGTTTGTTTCACACAAAAAAAAATTGCATCTTCAAAGTGGTAGGCATGTTGTGTAAATCAAATGATACAAACCCCCCAAAAATTCATTTTAATTCAAGGTTGTAAGGCAACAAAATTGGAAAAATGCCAAGTGGGGTGCATACTTTCGCAAGCCACTGCACGACTGGAATTTTTATATCAATGCCTGGAATATTTCCATTTTGGAGAATCTCTTATACATTGGGTTAAAGTTATGTATAGTAAAATATACGAGCAAAAAATATTATATTTTATTTGGAACGGCAACTCAGACAAAATTAAACTGACCTATTTATATAATGAATATGAATTCTGAGGGCAGAGATGATTAAATATTAAAGCATTAGACCTCTCACTAAAAGCTTAAGTCATGGAAAAGTTATACTTAAATCTGAATTGGTTCTCTAGCTGTTTAGTAGGAATGTCTCACCCCCTGTTAAAAAATACCTCTCATTTTTGTGAAAATGAAATAATCTCCAAAATATCGCTATTTTTAAAACAAGCCATATAAAGATAGGTGCAATTTCAGTTTAATCCACCAGAAAAAAAAACAGAATAAATATTAGAACAAATATTATGGTTAAACTCAAATATACAAATTGATAAAAAGAAATAAGAAAAATGTATAATCTTTGTAAATGATATTATAAATAGGACTGGTGGAGTTATGTCTCAGGTGCAGCTAACAAAAATATATAGAAATGTCTGCTCTAATCAAAATTATAACCAACTAATTGCAGCATTACCGCAAAAATGGAAGAGGCAAGTGGAAGGGGGAGAAAGTCAGGAAATGCATTAAAGACCAAAATTGGTTAAAGAAAATGTTCATTAATAAAAAAGTATACCTGTTTCATTTAAGGATAAAAAAAATGTACAACTCTGCCATATACATTGCAAAATAGTTGGGAAGAGATTTTCAATGTACCGATTCCATGGCACATGGTTTATGAACTGATACACAAAATGCTGCAAAGAGACAGAATCATTAGATTTAAAAAATGTGTTCCGTTTCAGGAATGTCTGAAGAATTGCTACATTTACCTGGTGCTAACTCTGCAAATTGCACTGCTGGGTGATTTAAAAAGTTATAGTCAATCGATCAATAAAATAATAATACTCTTAGCAAAAATGTTTATCTTTAATTTACAATCTGTAGAAACTATGAGAATAGAAAGGTTTAGAACTTTTGTGAAACATCATAGCACAGTTGAAAAATATATGGCAAACAGAAATCAACATCTTCAGAGATAGATAGGAGGGGTTGAAGGTAGCTGAAGGATGGGACTAAAAACAAACAAAAGATAACTATTGTAAAATACACTGTGTCCGTAAAATGTAGATAGTATGTATAAGCTGGAAGTAGAAGCCTAAGTGTTGTTGTCCATTAGTTTACTCCAATTAGGGGAGGGGTGCTAGGGTTAGGGAAAAAAACGAAAGATAAAATATATATACACTACCAGTCAAAAGTTTGGACACACCTACTCATTCAAGGTTTTTCTTTATTTTTTAAAACGTTTTACATTGTAGAATAATAGTGAAGACATTAAAACTATGAACTAACACATATGGAATCATGTAGTAACCAAAAAAGTGTTAAACAAATCAACATTTATTTTATGTTTGAGATTCTTCAAATAGCATCCCTTTGCCTTGATGACAGCTTTGCACACTCTTGGCATTCTCTCAACCAGCTTCATGAGGTATTCACCTGGAATTATTTTCAATTAACAGGTACCTTCTTAAAAGTTAATTTGTGGAATCTATTTCCTTCTTAATGTGTTTGAGCCATTCAGTTGTTTTGTGACAAGGTAGGGGGGGGGGGTATACAGAAGATAGCCCTATTTGGTAAAAGACCAAGTCCATATTATGTCAAGAATAGCTCAAATAAGCAAAGAGAAATGACAGTCCATCATTACTTTAAGACATGAAGGTCAGTCAATACGGAAAATGTCAACAACTTAAGAAAGTTTCTTCAAGTGCATTCGCAAAAACCATCAGGCGCTATGATGAAACTGGCTCTCATGAGGACCGCCACAGGAATGGAAGACCCAGAGTTACCTCTGCTGCAGAGGATAAGTTCATTAGTTAACAGCCGCAGAAACTACAGCTCAAATAAATGCACCACAGAGTTCAAGTAACAGACATCTCAACATCAACTGTTCAGAGGACCTGTGAATCAGGCCTTCATGGTCGAATTGCTGCAAAGAAATCCCTACTAAAGGACACCAATAAGAAGAAGAGACCTGCTTGGCCAAGAAACACGAGCAATGGACATTAGACCGGTGGAAATTTGTCCTTTGGTCTGGAGTCCAAATGTGAGATTTTTGGTTCAAACCGCTGTGTCTTTGTGAGACGCGGTGTGGGTGAACGGATGATCTCTGCATGTGTAGTTCTCACCGTAAAGCATGGAGGAGGAGGTGTTATGGTGTGGCAGTGCTTTGCTGGTGACACTGTCTGTGATTTATTTAGAATTCAAGGCATACTTAACCAGCATGGCTACCACAGCATTCTGCAGTGATACGCCATCCCATCTGGTTTGGGCTTAGTGGGACTATCATTTGTTTTTCAACAGGACAATGACCCAACACACCTCCAGGCTGTGTAAGGGCTATTTTACCAAGAAGGAGAGTGATGGAGTGCCTGGCCTCCACAATCCCCCGATCTCAAACCAATTGAAATGGTTTGGGATGAGTCGGACGGCAGAGTGAAGGAAAAGCAGCCAACAAGTGCTCAGCATATGTGTAGTATGATTCAATCTTAGTCCTGTATTGACTCTTTGCATGTTTGATGGTTCGTCGGAGGGCATAGCGGGATTTCTTATCATCATCAGGGTTAGAGTCCCGCTCCTTGAAAGCGGCAGCTCCATCCTTTAGCTCAGTGCTGATGTTGCCTGTAATCCATGGCTTCTGGTTGGGGTATGTACGTACGGTCACTGTGGGGACGACGTCATCGATGCACTTATTGATCAAGCCAGTGACTGATGTGGTGTACTCCTCAATGCTATCGGAAGAATCACGGAACATATTCCAGTCTGTGCTAGCAAAACAGTCCTGTAGCTTAGCACCTGCATCATCTGACCACTTCCTTATTAACCAAGTCACTGGTGCTTCCTGCTTTAGTTTTTGCTTATAAACAGGAATCAGGAGGATAGAGTTATGGTCAGATTTGCCAAATGGAGGGCGAGGGAGAGCTTTGTACATGTCTCTGTGTGTGGAGTAATGGTGGTCTAGAGTTTTTTTCCTCTGGTTGCACATTTAACATGCTGGTAGAAATGAGGTGGAACGGATTTAAGTTTCCCTGTATTAAAGTCCCCGGTCACTAGTAGCGCTGCCTCTGGATGAGCCTTTTCCTGTTGATTTATGGCCTTATACAGCTCATTGAGTGAGAGCTTAGTGCTAGCATCGGTTGGTGGTGGTTAATAGACAGCTACGAAAAATATAGATGAAAACTCTCTTGGTAAATAGTGTGGTCTACAACTTATCATGAGATACGCTTGAGGCAAGCAAAACCTCAAGACTTCCTTAGTATTAGATTTTATGCTCAAGCTGTTGTTTACAAATATACACAGACCGCCACCCCTCGTCTTACCGGTGTCAGCCGTTCTGTCCTGCCGATGTAGCGTATATCCCGCCAGCTGTATGTTATCCATGTTGTCGTTCAGCCACGACTCGGTGAAACATAAGATATTACAGTTTTGAATGTCCCGTTGGTAGGATAACCTTAATCTTAGGTCGTCCAATTTATTTTCAAATGATTGAACATTGGCTAATAGGTTTGATGGAAGAGGCAGTTTACTCGCTCGCCGTCGGATCCTTACAAGGCATCCCGACCTACGTGTACGATATCTCTGTCTCTTTCTCATGCAAATGACGTGTATTTGGGCCTTGTCGGGTGTCTGTAGAATATATTTTGCGTCCGACTCGTTGAAGAAAAAATCTTTGTCCAATACGAGGTGAGTAATCGCTGTCCTGATATCCAGAAGCTCTTTTTGGTCATAAGAGACGGTGGCAGAAACATTATGTACAGAATAAATTACAAATAACGTGAAAAAACACACATAATAGTACAATTGGTCAGAGGGCTGTAAAACGGCAGCCATCTTCTCCGGCGCCATTCATCAGTCTGTGGTAGCTGGAAGGCCGCCAACCATTTCACCCCTCCTGGCCCTGCTGTTTGCTTTGAAGAGTCCCAGTCTGGAGTGCAAAGCCCCTTGCCATTTCCCTCAGAGACCAATCGCTTTGCCTTGGAGCTACAGGAGAAGAGAGAGCCAGAAGTGAGGGGGAAACTCGCTAAATGGGTGACAACCACAATTAGTGAAATGTATACCTTCCTGGTGACAGTCCTTCTCATGGGAATAGTAAAGAAGAACTCCCTAAGAGAATACTGGAGCACAGATCCTATGTCTGCAACTCCCTTCTTTGCCACCTTCTTTTCCCAAGACCGCTTCCTAGTTCTGCTGCAATGCCTGCATTTCATCAACAACGCTACTGCCAACCTAAATGACCCGTTACACAAAATAAGAAATGTTCTTACCAGCCTGACATCAGCATTTGGTTGGGTCTTTGTGCCATACAAGGACCTATGCATTGATGAGTCCCTGATGTTATGGAAGGGTAGGCTGGCATTCTGTCAATATTTTCCCTCCAAAAGGCACAGGTTTGGGGTCAAGTTCTTTGTCATGTGCGACGTGAAGACAGGATTTGTCCAGGACATGATAGTCTACACAGGGTCCACCACTGATATCCAACATTATGAGGGGCTTGGGGTGTCCAGGTCCACTGTGATGACCATGCTGGCAAGGGACACACTTTGTATGTGGATGCTTGGTACAGCAGTCCCACACTCTTCCAGCATCTGCTCTCCAATAGCACAGGGACCTGTGGCACAGTCAGGTCGAACAGGAAGGGGATGCCGGCATTCGGATGCAGGAAGATGCAGAGTGGGGAGGTGGAGTTCAAGGAGAACGGTCAACAGCTGGCAGTAAAGTGGCATGACAAAACGAGACGTCCATGTCCTCTCCACTGTCCATACATCAACCATGTCGGCCACAGGGAAGGTGGACCACCTGACGGGAGAGAGAAAGATCAAACCAGACTGTTTGCTTGACTCTAACCTCAAAATGGGGTCAGTGGATAAGGCGGACATGATAAACAGCTTTGTGGAATGCACTCGGAAAACTACCAAGTGGTATAAGAATATATTTTTCCATCTGATCGACACCTCAATGGCCACATAGTTCACCGTCAACTAACAGGTGAGGTGATTACTGAACAAGGTATTTTTTGTAATTGGACGTACAGTTCATATACAAATCACATACAGTTCCATTATGCAATTATAGTGACAATATCTCACCCACTTACCCACTGCCTCATCATCCTCTCCCTTCCCTCATCCTCCCCACTCCCTCTCCCCATAGGTCAAGTAATTACCTACCAAAAGTACAGAAGAGCACCACACTCACCGATCCAAGATGGCGTAGCAGTGCGGTCGTGTTCTTTGTTGTGTGTCTGTGTAAATGGCCAGTTTTTTCCTTATTTTTCCCTATCACACTTTTCATCCTTCTACAAAATATACTTTCCTGCAACCCACCTCACTCAATGTGCAATGGATTCTATTATTGACTTACCTTTTATCTAGAATCTCCAGTTGAAACTAGCTAGCCAGCTAACTAGCTACTTGCTATTAGCCACCTTTAGCGGTTTTCACCCAAAACATCGGATTTTCTGCCGGAATAACTGAATCATTGGACATTAACACCGGATCGCAACTAGCTAGCTGCAACCAAATGGATGTTGTTGTTGGCTAATCAGCCTTGAGCTAGCCTCCAGCCAGCCCCATCTCCCGGCTATCTACCTCTCTGTCAACCGGACGGGACCTCCTAGTGTTGACACGGAACCCCGCCGATCCAACACGACTGGTCTGCCGTCTAAATCGTCTGATGTGGTTTCAACAGGCTTCCCGTTACGACTTTGACCACGAAGATCCATCTGCTAGCCCTGGCCCGCTAGCACACACAAGCCGTGGTCTCTTGCTCGCCAGTGCTATAGCAGCCCCCAAACTACCTTCGAACTCTTCTATTGCTGTTCACCGGACCTTATGATAACTCAGCTATACAGCTGATGCCTGCTGGACTTTTCCTTTATACGGTACCGCATCCTGTTTATGTTTAGCCTCAACCGAAACTTTGTCGCCATTACCAGCTGTTGTCTTAGCTCTCTCGAATAACACCTGTGATTGTTTGCCTCTCTCCCATGTCAAAATGCCTTGCTTATTGCTGTTTCGGTTATTTCTTATTGTACTATTTCACAATAGATCCCCCAGCCCAGCTCAACCTGCCTTAGATAGCTCCTTAGTCCCACCCCCCATACACGCGGAGACCAACTAAATCGGTGCCTCCAGTGATGCTATCTCTTTCATCATTACCCAACGCTTAGGTTTACCTCCACTGTACTCATATCCTTCCATATCCTTGTCTGTACATAATGCCCTGAATCTATTCTACAACGCCCGGAAATCTGCCCCTTTTTTTCTCTGTATCCAACGCACTAGAACACCAGTACTTAAAGCCTTTAGCCATATCCTTATTCTACTCCTACTCTTTTCCTCTGGTGATGTAAAGGTTAACCCAGGCCCTGTAGCCCCCAGTATCACTCCTACTCCCCAGGCGATATCATTTGTTGACTTCTGTAACCGTAAAAGCCTTGGTTTCTTGCACGTTAACATCCGAAGCCTCCGCCCTAAGTTTGAGTTATTCACTGCGTTAGCACACCCCGCCAACCTGTTCTAGCAGTGTCTGAATCCTGGCTTAGGAAGGCCCCAACTACAACATTTTCCGTCTCGATAGAACTGCCAAAGGGGGTGGGGTTGCAATCTACTGTAGAGATAGCCTGCAGAGCTCTATCGTACTATCCAGGTCTGTGCCTAAACAGTTTGAGCTTCTACTTCTAAAAATCCAACTTTCCAGAAATGTCTCTCACTGTTGCCGCTTTCTACAGACCCCCCTCAGCCCCGAGCTGTGCCCTGGACACCATATGTGAACTGATTGCCCCCATCTATCCTCAGAGTTCATACTGCTTGGTGACCTAAACTGGGATATGCTTAACACCCCGGCCAACCTACAATCTAAACTAGATGACCTCAATCTCACACAAAAGATCAACGAACGTACCAGGTACAACCCTAAATCTGTAAACATGGGCACCCTCATAGATATAATCCTGACAAATGTACCCTCTAAATACACCTCCGCTGTCTTCAACCAGGATCTCAGCGATCACTGCCTTATTGCCTGCGTCCGTAACGGGTCCGCGGTCAAACGACCACCCCTCATCACTGTCAAACGCTCCCTAAAACACTTTAGCGAGCAGGCCTTCCTAATTGACCTGGCCCAGGTATCCTGGATGGATATAGATCTCATTCCGTCAGTAGACGATGCCTGGTTGTTCTTTAAAAGTAATTTCCTCTCAATCTTAAATAAACATGCCCCATTCAAAAAATACAGAACTAAGAACAGATATAGCCCCTGTTTCTCCTCAGACTTGACTGCCCTTGACCAGCACAAAAACATCCTGTGGCGTACTGCATTAGCATCAAATAGCCCCCGCGATATGCAACTTTTCAGGGAAGTTAGGAACCAATATACACAAGCTGTCAGGAAAGCAAAGGCTAACTTTTTCAAACAGAAATTTGCATCCTGTAGCACTAACTCCAAAAAGTTTTGGGACACTGAAGTCCATGGAGAATAAGAGCACTTCCTCCCAGCTGCCCACTGCACTGAGGCTAGGAAACACTATCACCACCGATAAATCTACAATAATCGAGAATTTCAACAAGCATTTTGCTACGGCTGGCCATGCTTTCCACCTGGCTACCACTACCCCGGCCACCAACTCTGCACCCTCCGCTGCAACTTGCCCATGCCCCCCCGCTTCTCCTTCACACAAATTCAGACAGCTGATGTTCTGAAAGAGCTGCAAAATCTGGACCCCTACAAATCAGCTGGGCTAGACAATCTGGACCCTTTCTTTCTAAAACTAGCTGCCAAAATTGTCACAACCCCTATTACTAGCCTGTTCAACCTCTCTTTCGTAACGTCTGAGATCCCCAGAGATTGGAAAGCTGCTGCGGTCATCCCCCTCTTCAAAGGGGGTGACACTCTAGATCCAAACTGTTACAGACCTATATCAATCCTGCCCTGCCTTTCGAAAGTATTTGAAAGCCAAGTTAACAAACAGATCACCGACCATTTTGAATCCCACCGTACCTTCTCCGCTATGCAATCCGGTTTCCGAGCTGGTCATGGGTGCACTTCAGCCACGCTCAAGGTCCTAAACGACCTGGCCAAGGCTTTCGACTCTGTCAACCACTCCATTCTTATTGGCAGACTAAATATCATTGGTTTCTCAAATGACTGCCTCGCCTGGTTCACCAACCACTTCTCAGATAGAGTTCAATGTGTCAAATCGGAGGGCCTGTTGTCTGGACCTATGGCAGTCTCTATGGGGGTGCCACAGGGTTCAATTCTTGGGCGGACTCTTTTCTCCGTGTATATCAATGATGTCGCTCTTGCTGCTGGTGACTCTCACATCCACCTCTACGCAGACGACACCATTTTGTATACATCTGGCCCTTCATTGGACACTGTGTTAACTAACCTCCAAACGAACTTCAATGCCATACAACACTACTTCAGTAGCCTCCAACTGCTCTTAAATACTAGTAAAACTAAATGCTTGCTCTTCAATCGAACGCTGCTGGCACCCGCCCACCCGACTAGAATCACCACTCTCGACGGGTCTGACCTAGAGTATGTGGACAACTACAAATACCTAGGTGTCTGGTTAGACTGTAAACTCAACTTCCAGACTCACATTAAGAATCTCCAATCCAAAGTTAAATCTAGAATCGTCTTCCTATTTCACAACAAAGCCTCCTTCACTCATGCTGCCAAACATGCCCTCGTAAAACTGACTATCCTACCGATCCTTGACTTCGGCGATGTCATTTACAAAATAGCCTCCAACACTCTACTCAGCAAATTGGATGTAGTCTATCACAGTGCCATCCGTTTTGTCTCCAAAGCCCCATACACTACCCACCACTGTGACCTGTACGCTCTTGTTGGCTGGTCCTCACTACATGTTCGTCGTCAAACCCACTGGCTCCAGGCCATCTATAAATCACTGCTAGGCAAATCCCCGCCTTATCTTAGCTCATTGGTCACCATAGCAGCACCCACCCGTAGTCTGCGCTCCAGCAGGTATATCTCACTGGTCATTACCAAAGCCAACACCTCCTTTGGCCCCCATTCCTTCCAGTTCTCTGCTGCCAATGACTGGAACGAATTGCAAAAATCTCTGAAGCTGGAGACTCTTATCTCCCTCACTAACTTTAAGCATCAGTTGTCAGAGCACCTTACCGATCACTGCACCTGTACACAGCCCATCTGAAATTAGCCCACCCAACTACCTCATCCCTATATTGTTATTTATTTTGCTCTTTTGCACCCCAGTATGTCTATTTGCACATAATCTCTTGCACATCTAGCATTCCAGTGTTAATACTAATTGTAATTATTTTGCACTATGGCCTATTTATTGCCTTTCCTCCATAGCTTGCTACATTTGCACACACTGTATATATATTTTCTGTTGTATTTTTTTGACTTTATGTTTTTTTACCCCATATGTAACTCTGTTGTTGTTTTTATCGCACTGCTTTGCTTTATCTTGGCCAGGTCGCAGTTGTAAATGAGAACTTGTTCTCAACTGGCTTACCTGGTTAAATAAAGGTGAAATAAAATAAAAATAAAAAATTCATTACAAAACCGACTGATATGGCCAACTACTTTAATGATTTTTTAATTGGCAAGATTAGCAAACTTAGGCATGACATGCCAGCAACAAACGCTGACACTACACATCCAAGTATATCTGACCAAATTATGAAAGACAAGAATTGTAATTTTGAATTCCGTAAAGTGAGTGTGGAAGAGGTGAAAAAAGTAGTGTTGTCTATCAACAATGACAAGCCACCGGGGTCTGACAACTTGGATGGACAATTACTGAGGATAATAGCAGATGATATTTCCATTCCTATTTGCCATATCTTCAATTTAAGTCTACTAGAAAGTTTGTGCCCTCAGGCCTGGAGGGAAGCAAAAGTCATTCCGCTACCTAAGAATAGTAAAGCCCCCTTTACTGGCTCAAAGAGCCGACCAATCAGCCTGTTACCAACCCTTAGTAATGTTTTGGGAAAAATTGTGTTTGACCAGAACAGACTTTCAGCACACTTATAGGGAAGGACATTCAATAAGCACAGCACTTACACAAATGACTGATGATTGGCTGAGATAAATTGATGATGAAAAGATTGTGGGGGCTGTTTTGTTAGACTTCAGTGCTGCTTTAGACATGATCAATCATAGTCTGATAATTGAAAAACGTATGTGTTATGGATGTACACCCCCTGTACCTGTCTAACAGAACACAGAGGGTGTTGTTTAATGGAAGCCTCTCCAACATAATCCAGGTAGAATCAGGAATTCCCCAGGGCAGCTGTCTAGGCCCCTTATTTTTTTCAATCTTTACTAACAACATGCCACTGGCTTTGAGTAAAGCCAGAGTCTCTATGTATGCGGATGACTCAACACTATACACGTCAGCTACTACAGCAACTGAAATGACTGCAACACTTAACCTCTAGGGGATCGATGTCCTGTATACGGGACGGTGAGCTAACATGCACTAATGTGATTAGCATGACTGTTGTAAGTAACAGCAAACTTTCCAGGACATAGACATGTCTTATATGGGCAGAAAGCTTAAATTATTGTTCATCTAACTGCACTGTCCGATTTACAGTAGCTATTACAGTGAACAAAATACCATGCTATTGTTTGAGGGGAGTGCACAACAACAAAAAACATATCACGGCAACTGGTTTGATACATTCACCTCTGAAGGTAAATAATGTACTTACATTCAGTAATCTTGCTCTGATTTGTCATCCTGAGGGTCCCTGAGATAACATGTAGGATAGTTTTGTTTGATAAAATTGATTTTTATATTCAAATGTAGAAATTGGGTTATACAGTTTGAACCCTTGCTGTCTCTGGCTCCACACCCACCCCACCCGGCCATCTAGATGTGTGAAAGTTAGTGTATAAGCTAATATAAGCTAATGATCCATCATGTATGACATTCCTGGGAGTGTGTAAACTTAAATTTTGTATGTTCTCTATAGTTATGTACTTGAAAATGCATCGATTGACCAATTCGGCAGATTTGGGCAGACTTGATACAAAATAGTCCAGTATTGCAATGCTTCACTGGATCAATCTGAAACTTTGCACACACACTGCTGCTGTCTAGTGGCCAGAATCTAAATTGCGCCTAAACTGCAATATTATATTGTGGCCTTTCTTTTGCATTTCAAAGATGATTAAAAAAAAATATATATATATTTTTTTGGTTTGCATTATCTTTTGAAAAAGAAAAGGAAAGCCGCACACTCTAGGAGCTCAGATGCAATAATTTAATATCCTAATAACCAACGTTTCGACAGAGAAGCTATCTTCATCAGGGTATAATAACAAACACTGTGGGTCACTAGTTTATATAGTGTCAAAAGACACACGCAGGTGTCTGTAATCATGGCCGGGTGTGGCCTAATAGCATTAGTTAATTCACAGATCAACATGACCTTTTACCAGATCTAATGTGTTATATTCTCCTACATTAATTTCACATCCTTGTAAGGGTTGGGGTGAGGTGTGACCCAGGTGCTGTGCAGTATATGCAGTAGGCAGTAGGCAGAGATGATGAAACAAGGATCTTTACTGGTGGTCCCGAAGCCAAAATACAAAATAACGGACTTACCACGATAAAAGAAAGACGGAGCAAATAAGTCTCCAAAAACCGTCTGACAGCCAAAATACGAAATACTACCTAAGACTGAAACAAATAACAAAACAGGGAGAACACTTCTCAAGTACCTGTACATAGGTCTCCGATCAGACACTGAGTAGTACTGCTGGACATAGAGAAACTAGCAGAGAAAACAGAGCAAGGGAACACAGGGAAGTGAGGGCATAAATACACAGGTGAACAGATAGACACAGGTGACACCAATAGGATGATGATTAGTCCAGACTGTGAGTGAGGAGGTGCCTAAGGTTGTCGGAGGATGACACCTAATGGGTCGCTCCGGAACTGCAACCCTCTCCTGTAATAAATCCTTGCTTCAGGTCCTGAGCTACAGGCAGTTGGATTTGGGTATGTCATTTTAGGCGAAAATTGGAAAAAAGGGTCCGATACTTAGGAGGTTAACAAAGAGCTGCAGTTTGTTTCAGAATTGGTGGCAAGGAATAAGTTAGTCCTAAATATTTCAAAAACTAACGGCATTCTATTTGGGACAAATCATTCACTAAACCCTAAACCTCAACTAAATATTTTAATAAATAATATGGAAATTGAATAAGTTGAGGTGACTAAACTGCTTGGAGTAACCCTGGATTGTAAACTGTCATGGTCAAAACATAGTGATACAACAGTAGCTAAAATGGGGAGAAGTCTGTCCATAATAAAGCGCTGATCTACCTTCTTAACAGCACTATCTATCAACAAGGCAGGTCCTACAGGCTCTAGGTTTGTCGCACCTGGACTACTGTTCAGTCGTGTGGTCAGGTGCCAGAAAGAGGAACTTAGGAAAATTGCAGTTGGCTCAGAACACGGCAGCACGGCTGGCCCTTGGATTTACACAGAGAGCAAACATTAATAATATGCATGTCAATCTCTCCTGGCTCAAAGTAGAGGAGAGATTGACTTCATCACTGTCAGCACCGAGCTGTCTGTTTAAACGACTAGCACACAGCTCAGACACCAATGCATACCCCACAAGACATGCCACCAGAGGTCTCTTCACAGTCCCTAAGTCCAGAACAGACTATGTGAAGTGCACAGTACTACATAGAGCCATGACTACATGGAACTCTATTCCACATCAGGTAACTGATACAAGTAGTACAATCAGATTTAAAAAACAGATACAAATACACCTTATGGAACAGTGGGGACTGTGAAGCAACACAAACATAGGCACAGACACATGCATACACACACATGATAACATACGCACTATACACACACGTACACATGGATTTTGTGTTGTAGATATGTGGCAGTGGATTATGGGCCTGAGGGCACACACTTAGTGTGTTGTGAATTCTGTAATTAATGTATTGTAATGTTTTTTAAATTGTATAACTGCCTTAATTTTGCCGGACCCCAGGAAGAGTAGCCTTTGGCAGCAGCTAATGGGGATCCATAATAAATACAAATACAACAACCATGTTTTACACTGTTTCAATCTGCTGTTTTCTTCAAATTGATCATCACAGTGAGGTGACTTTTAAAAGTACAATAGGCCTACTGTGTTTGATGTGATTTTCGATTGCATTTGCATTGATGTCAGAGTGGTTAGGACCTGATGATAGTTAGCAAGTTGGGTACTACCAAAGCATGTCCAGGGTGCATAAAAGGAGATTACTGTGACTCAACGGTCACGTGGGTCATGACTCATGACTGCGGTAATATGGTCACTGCAGCAGCCCTATTTGTAACACATTTATGTAGTGTTCATGAAGGCTTTATGAAGCCTTTATAAGCTGCACATCATTTAAAGCGGGACCCCCAAGGTTATGATATAATTAAAGGTGTAATAAGTATTTGTGTCTCCCTCTCTCCCCATCCTTCAGTTGCATTCTCTGGCTTGGGCTTCACCTCCTTCTACCTGGCTGGGAAGCTGCAGTGCTTCACAGACCGGGGCCGCGGGTGCAGCTGGCGTCTGTGTGCCATGTTGCTGCCCCTCTACAGCGCTGTGATGATCGCCCTGTCCCGCACCTGCGACTACAAACACCACTGGCAAGGTCGGTCACGATCCCTGTCACAGTCACGCCACATCCAAATGAATCAGCAGATATGCCATTTAGGTCTACAATTCAGCTAACTTTATTATCATACGTGCAAAAATTCATTTGGTCATCACTACGGTTGCAACATTCTGGTAATTTTCCCAAAATTCCCTGGTTTTCCAGAAATCCTGGTTGGAGGATCCGTGGACTTCCTGCTTATTCTTTCTAAATTCTAGGAATCTTCAAACTAGGATTTCTGGAAAACCAGGGAATTGCAACGCTATCATCACGATGTACACAGAAGACATTAAAAACAACAATACCCATGAATGTAGGCCTACATATAATGTGTATTGTATGACATCAACGCGGTATTTATTATAATCCTCAATGTCTCATCTTTCAGAATACATCCTAATTTTCCTCACTCAGACAACAACAAATGTGCAAAAGTAGCCCAATTAGCGGGAGGGATGGGGGCATTTTCTTGCAGCCCGCAGTGCTCAAGTTTATAACGTCTGTCAAAACCCATACACTGCTGTGAAGCGGAGAACCGGAGCTCTGATGTCATTTATAGCATGTTACTGTACAGCGACTGCGTTCCAATTGAGGCGCTTATCAATGACAACATCTGGCACTTTCAAACCTTACAGTACCTTGCAAAAGTATTCATCCCCCTTGGTGTTTTTCCTATTTTGTTGCATTACAACCTGTTATTTAAATGGATTTTAATTTGGATTACATGTAATGGACATACACAAAATAGTCAAAATTGTTGAAGTGGAATAAAAAAAATTAATTGTTAAAGAAATTCATAAAAATTAATAATGGAAAAGTGGTGCGTGCATATGTATTCACCACCTTTGCTATAAAGCCCCTAAATAAGATCTGGTGCAACCAATTACCTTCAGAAGTCACACAATTAGTTAAATAAAGTCCACCTGTGTGCAATCTAAGTGTCACATGATCTGTCACATGATCTCAGTATATATACACCTGTTCTGAAAGGCCCCAGAGTCTGCAACACCACTAAGCAAGGGGCACCACCAAGCAAGCAGTACCATGAAGACCAAGGAGCTCTCCAAACAGGTCAGGGACAAAGTTGTGGAGAAGTACAGATCAGGGTTGGGTTCAAAAGAAAATATCAGAAGTATGTTCAGTCTCCCCCCAAAACTTGTCCATTTCATTGTAACATCCATAACACTTATTTTTTGCTTTATTTCTCCATCATGCCAATATTTAGAAGTCTGCTTTTTTGGGTATACACTCCCCCCAAGCGATAATAGACACACACATCAAAAGTTTCATTTCTATATTATTTGTCCATTCTGTGAGACATTCAAGTTTAGATTTTGAGTGCAAATGTCACTTCCATAACGCTGGAATCGCCCTTATAGTTAATTAGCTCATGGCGCAAGTGTCTTTGCGTCAGGAAAATGTTGCCTTATAGCCCGTTACAATGAAGTGTGATAATAACACACAGCATAGTGCCGTGCTGTGCACTCACAACACCTGTCCTGTGACATTTCATATGTTGCACTAATCTTTTGTGTCCCTCCTGGTCATGATAGACTATTGAAACCACAGCAGTACTTATAGATGGGTGGGCGCACGCATTTCGGAGGCTAAAGGCGGTGTGTTATGATTCTGAACGGTTAGATAGCTTTGAACAATCACAAGAAGCTGCCGTGTGATAAATTGTATTTGGCTTATTTCAGCTAGTTGTATCATCTTGTTCTTGATATCATGTCTTGTTTTGACTTATGTCACGTCTATGCTAATATGGCAAAAAATCTGCTAGGAAGCTAACCAACAACTGTAACGATGTATTTGAAAGACAAGTGCTTATTATGCAAATGTACTTATATTGTCAAAAACCTTTTGATTGTAAGCCAACCCCTTTTGTTTTGCCCCACAGTTGCACACGCATTGGTTTTGTTGGTAAACAACCCACCCGTATATGGCGCTTCCTCCTGCACCCTAGTCTTAGTTAAACAGGAGCTCCTATTAGCCTGCTATGCAAACTGTGCTGGGTGCTTAACACCACACACTCTTCCCCATTATGGGATACTCTAGCCCCCAGGGCCCTGGGAAAATGTCTGGGGTTTCAGATCCAGCACTGGAGAAGGCATCCATACTGAAGCGTCAACAACATCAACCTTTAGATGACTCTCCAAGTATCATGATACCTTTCAAATAACCAGCTCAGGGACAAAGCCTACACATCATTAGTTTGGACTGTTTCCCTACTTATAGTCATCCATCTTGACCGCATAGTTAAAAGTCACAGCTTGTGTGAGGTCATCAACAGGAGAAACCACTGGCTCTGTTCCAATCCACACTAGCATACACTAGTTAGTGTGAAGCAATTTGTCTTCTAAGTGGGATGCTAGTATGGATGTTGGAATGTGGCCAGTTTATGTTCAAGCACAATTTATGGTGCAGATGTTAACCTCATTTCCTCCAGCTGGACAGATAAATAATTGTTTCCTAAATCTTTCAGAGTCTAGTTCAACCGGTCCAACTACTACACAAGCTAGTCATTCCCTCTACAAAACTTTAGCCCTTTTTTCCCAAACATTGATCATGAGAAGGCAATGATTTTGCATGTTATAGCTCATAGGGTTGTGGTCACTGTGAGGTGACATGTTCTCAGCTATGGTGACAAAGTAACAGAGATGGTTTGTCCAACCCAGTCACATGTTGAGACTCAGCGAGCCCCAGTAGTAACATCAGCCCAATGTCAGACCAACATCAGCCCAACATCAGCCCAATGTTAGCCCAACAAATTGTTACCCTGCACCCATCCAAACACGTTATTCTCATTGAGAAAACTCAAACCCTTCCACTTGTTTTCCTATCTGTCTACCAGAAAGACTCTAGGAATATCTGTTTTTGAGCATTTGCAAATGTCTCACTTGTTTCACCTCCATGACTATGCCACCTCCATTTTACCGGGCTACTGATAAACTAAATTATCTGACATTTCCAATATAGCCAGCCCCAGCAGTGACGTCAGCCCAACATCAGCCTAACATTCACGAAAGCTGAAAGGCCCAGTGCAGTCAAAAACGTGATATTCCTGTGTATTATACATATTTCCACACTTTGAGGTTGGAATAACACTGTGAAATTGTGAAAATTATGATAATGCCCTTTTAGTGTAAGAGCTGTTTGAAAAGACTGCCTGAAATTTCAGCCTGTTTTGGTGGGATGGAGTTTTGGTCTTCCTGCTTGAGAAATTGCCCTTTGCTAAGAAGCTATTTTTGTTTCTTTTTGACCATTTTAATTGAAAACAATCACAGTAAGGTACTTAATTGTTACAGAGAAATGATTTGATATTGAGATAAAAACAGCTGCATTGGACCTTGAATCAAACTGCTCCCAGCACCCATCCAGAACAAACTCAAATGCTGACCTTTCCTCTTGTTGTCCTATTTTTTAAAATTTTAGTCATTTAGCAGACGCTCTTATCCAGAGCGACTTACAGTTAGTGAGTGCATACATTATCCTATCTGTCTACCAGCAAGACTTTAGGAAATACCTCTCTGAAGTCTGTTGTTGGGCTGTAACAAATTCCACATGACTGTACCACCCCCATTTCTCCTAGCTACTGATAATCTAAATTAGCAATCATTTCCAATGTTATCACCATTAATGAAGTAACATCAATGATTCATGCACTGTATATATGACTAAGTACCCAAGTTTATTTCCTATTGTAGATTTCTGAGATATACTGTAGGTAAGTTAGACCCAAGGTAAGACCCAAGGTAAGAGTGTGGAGCTAATAACACCATTGTTGTGGGTTCATTTCCTGCAGGTATCACTCACAGAGACACCAAAAAAATGTATGCACTCACTATACTGTAACTTCCTTTTGGATAAAACCGTCTGCTAAGTGGCATATATTATTATATGTACAGTATTAATATATTATTATTATTATTATTCCCTAGATGCCTTTGTTGGAGGGGTGATCGGCCTGCTTTTTGCCTACATCTGCTACCGGCAGCACTACCCCCCGTTCCTGCACATGGACTGCCACCTGCCGTATGCCAGTCTGGCCAAAGCCCCCCACCTCATCTCTGCCCAGGGTGATCCCCTGGTCCTGCCCACCGAGAACGCCACCAGCCTGCCTCTGAAGGGGCTGACGGAGGGGCCTGTATAACTCCTGCCATCCCCTACCTCCAGACCCAGTCTCTAACCCCACCATCACCCCAAGACCACCCAACCCGCTCCCCCTCTCACTAACTGTAGACTGACTAGCTAGTACTTACATATACCAGTGGACAGTACTGTACACCTCTCGCTCTCTCAATATTTCTCCTTGTCTCTCACCTCCCTCCACCCTCGCCCTTTGTTTGTTTTGCCTGCCGGAATCAGCACCCTTTCAGTGGTTTATATTTAGAGAGGCTGTGTATGTGTGGCATCTGGGAATATGCAGTGAGGGAAAAAAGTATTTGATCCTCTGCTGATTTTGTACGTTTTCCCATTGACAAAGAAATTATCAGTCTATAATTTTAATGGTAGGTTTATTTGAACAGTGAGAGACAGAATAACAACAAAAAAAAACAGAAAAACGCATGTCAAAAATGTTATCAATTGATTTGCATTTTAATGGGGAAATAAGTATTTGACCCCCTCTCAATCAGAAAGATTTCTGGCTCCCAGGTGTCTTTTATACATGTAACGAGCTGAGATTAGGAGCACACTCTTAAAGGGAGTGCTCCTAATCTCAGCTTGTTACCTGTTTAAAAGACACCTGTCCACAGAAGCAATCAATCAGATTCCAAACTCTCCACCATGGCCAAGACCAAAGGGCTCTCCAAGGATGTCAGGGACAAGATTGTAGACCTACACAAGGCTGGAATGGGCTACAAGACCATCGCCAAGCAGCTTGGTGAGAAGTTGACAGCAGTTGGTGTGATTATTCGCAAATGGAAGAAACACAAAAGAACTGTCAATCTCCCTCGGCCTGGGGCTCCATGCAAGATCTCACCTCGTGGAGTTGCAATGATCATGAGAATGGTGAGGAATCAGCCCAGAACTACACGGGAGGATCTTGTCAATGATCTCAAGGCAGCTCGGACCATAGTCACCAAGAAAACAATTGGTAACACACTACGCCGTGAAGGACTGAAATCCTGCAGCGCCCGCAAGGTCCCCCTGCTCAAGAAAGCACATATACAGGCCCGTCTGAAGTTTGCCAATGAACATCTGAATGATTCAGAGGAGAACTGGGTGAAAGTGTTGTGGTCAGATGAGACCAAAATGGAGCTCTTTGGCATCAACTCAACTAGCCGTGTTTGGAGGAGGAGGAATGCTGCCTATGACCCCAAGAACACCATCCCCACCGTCAAACATGGAGGTGGAAACATTATGCTTTGGGGGTGTTTTTCTGCTAAGGGGACAGGAGAACTTTACTGCATCAAAGGGACGATGGACGGGGCCATATACCGTCAAATCTTGGGTGAGAACCTCCTTCCCTCAGCCAGGGCATTGAAAATGGGTCGTCGATGGGTATTCCAGCATGACAATGACCCAAAACACACGGCCAAGGCAACAAAGGAGTGGCTCAAGAAGAAGCACATTAAGGTCCTGGAGTGGCCTAGCCAGTCTCCAGACCTTAATCCCATAGAAAATCTGTGGAGGAAGCTGAAGGTTCGAGTTGCGAAACGTTAGCCTCGAAAACTTAATGACTTGGAGAAGATCTGCAAAGAGGAGTGGGACAAAATCCCTCCTGAGATATGTGCAAACCTCGTGGCCAACTACAAGAAACGTCTGACCTCTGTGATTGCCAACAAGGGTTTTGCCTCCAAGTACTAAGTCATGTTTTGCAGAGGGGTCAAATACTTATTTCCCTCATTGAAATGCAAATCAATTTATAACATTTTTGACATGCGTTTTTCTGGATTTTTTTGTTGTTATTCTGTCTCTCACTGTTCAAATAAACCTACCATTAAAATTATAGACGGATCATTTCTTTGTCAGTGGGCAAACGTACAAAATCAGCAGGGGATCAAATACTTTTTTCCCTCACTGTAGGACAACATTGCTGGAGCAAAAAGGCAAAAGCCCTAACCCAACATTAAACTGCTAGGATGTTCATTAGAAGTTGTTGCTCTACATTTTCTTCACTGCTCACTTCAGTAGAATGGAGTTAGCTGGTATAGCAGCTGGTATAGCAATTTGATGTAGAGTTGGATGGAATGCAGAGCGCCTGGTGGTAATCCCATTAAATGTCACAGCAATGGAGCAATGGGTATGTTAGATGTCACAGCTCCCCAATTTGATTTATGAGATATCTAATCGCTTCGGCAGTGAGGAAATTCACACTACAAAATCTGATAGCTCACACATGTCTAACTTTGAGAGCACACATCAGCAATGATGACCAAATGTATCGTCACTAATGTTGTCCAAACTGTAATCTGTTAATATTCTATTAGCCACTGCCTTGGTCTTAGACCCACAGACGTTGTTTTTGCATTGTCCACATCTCTCCTGCTGCTGTTGTTCCATGGCAACATAATTATAAATATAACATCAATAGGTCGTTATCAACAAAACGTTCAATTTGGCTGCTGGGGGGCAAGGAGACCCTCCAGTTCCGCTAAAATCATTGACAACTATGTGCCGTATTCAAGGAATTATTAAATAAATGTTATAACTATTTGGTTTTAATATCATCACCTCTTGAAGAGCATAGTCAGAACTACACATTTCCAATTATTCCACATTTAGCTCTATCATCAGAGTTTTACAGCAATCAGTAAACATCAATTGATCATGTATTTTCAGATATGTGAGGGTAGCCAGATCTATTTGGCATGTAGCTATCTAGCTAAAGAAAACAATGTGTCATTTAGCGTGCTTTAGGCTTTTGGAAAGAGCTTGACACCGCCCTGGTAAAGTTGTCAGTCAGACTACTGTCATCACCACTATAGATGGCAAGCAAATCAAACAATATTTGGGAATAGCCATCTAATTTATCCCCTGAAAGTTATCTTGTTAACTAGCCATATTGACGTGATCTGTTATTAGCTAGCTAGCTAGCCAATTTAACATTGTCCATCAATCAATGTAGCCTATCATGTCTGTCAGCAGCAATCGTGATTAAACACTGTTTAAAAGGGGATAATGATAGCTACTTCGCAAGGTAGGCCTACGTTAGTTGGTGAAAAAAGTACATTAGGTCTAATTACCACTATGTTTAGCCAAATGTACAAAGTTTATATCGGTAGCTTGCAAAGTAAACCTTATCAGCTAACAGTAACGTTACATCAGCATATGTGCCCTTCTGCTGCTTGACAGGCAGACCCCACAAAGGATGGGAAAGTAACCTATACCACTCATACTTGTCAGGTATAGTTCACTTTTATTTTTTATCACTCAAATATCCAATTAATGGTGGCCAATATTGAGAGAGATTGTGAGGCTACCCTCACATACACTATATATACAAAAGTATGTGGACACCCCTTCAAATTAGTGGATTCGGCTATTTCAGGCACACCCGTTGCTGACAGGTGTATAAAACCAAGCACACCGCCATGCAATCTCCATAGACAAACATTGGCAGTAGAATGGCCTTACTGAAGAGCTCAGTGACTTTCAACGTGGTCCCGTCATAGGATGCCACCTTTCCAACAAGTCAGTTTGTAATTTCTGCCCCGGTCAACTGTAAGTGCTGTTATTGTGAAGTGGAAATGTCTAGGAGCAACAATGGCTCAGCCGCGAAGTGTTAGGCCGCACAATCTCACAGAACGGGACCACCAAGTTCTCATGCGAGTAGAAATCATCTGTCCTCGGTTGCAACGCTCACTACTGAGTTCCAAACTGCAGTTCGACGGACAAATGTGGGTTTGGCAGATGCCAGGAGATCGCTACCTGCCCGAATGCATAGTGCCAACTGTAAAGTTTGGTGGAGGAGGAATAATGGTCTGGGGTTGTTTTTCATGGTTTAGGCTAGGCCCCTTTGTTCCAGTGAAGGGAAATCTTAACGCTACAGCATACAATGACATTCTAGACGATTCTGTCCTCTCAACTTTGTGGCAACAGCTTGAGGAAGGCCCTTTCCTGTTTCAGCATGACAACGCCCCCGTGCACAAAGCGAGGTCCACACAGAAATGGGTTGTCGAGATCGGTGTGGAAGAACTTGACTGGCCTTCACAGAGCCCTGACCTCAACCCCATCAGACACTTTTGGGGTGAATTGGAACGTCGACTGCGAGCCAGGCCTAATCGCCCAACATCAGTGCCCGACCTCACTAACGCTCTTGTGGCTGAATGGAAGCAAGTCCCCGCAGCAATGTTCCAACATCTAGTGGAAAGCATTTCCAGAAGAGTGGAGGGTGTTATAGCAGCAAAAGGGGGACCAACTCCATATTAATGCCCATGATTTTGGAATGAGATATTCGATGAGCAGGTGTCCACATACTTTTGGTCATGTAGTGTATCTGAAATTACATGGTCAATTTATGTTAACTGATCATGAAAATCATGCCGGTGCTTGCTGTAGGTTTATAACTAATGATATAACTAAATGTGCGCAATTGTTTTGCATGGAATAATTGGATACTTCAGACTATGCTCTTCAAGAGGTGATGATATTACAATCAAATAGTTAACATCTATTTAACAATCCCTTGAAAATGGCAATGGTTTTAGCGGAGCTGCGGGTCTCCTTGCCCCCCAGCAGGCAAATCGAACGCTCTACACCTTATTGTGACTTTTATTGATAATGAGCTATACATTCATGGAGAGAAGGACTGTTTGATGTCAAAGCCGATCTTCTCCCCAGTCCCGTTTCTTTCTCTTTTCTCACTTCCTCCCATTCTGTCTATGTGTTTCTTTACATCCAGTTTCTACATTTTTCTCAAATTGTTCTCATGTCATATCTCATCCCTCCATGACACTTCTCACTTTTCTTTCTCTCTCACCTTCCAGCTGCCTCCTCCCTTCTCTTGCTCTCTCTCCTTCTATCTCTCTTAATTTTTCTTTCTCTCCCCCCTCTCTCTCCCTCCTCCATCTCCACCTGCTCCCTTTCTCGCATGCTCTCTGGCTTAGTAATAGCTCCCTCCTGCCCTGGCATGGGCTGACTGGGTGTTTAACGTTTCCTGCACTGAGGTTGATCTTAGATTTGAATACAAATTAAAGCTCAATGACG